GCCGCCCTCATCCCCACCCCCAGCTCAAGGGCACTTGCGGCAGCAGGACCGTGGGCACCAGGCAGAGGACACACGTGGCCTCCATTCTTAAAAGTCTTCTCTGTGCACTGCAGGGTCTTCTCATGTACCAGCACTTTTTTCTTCCCATTTCTTTCTCCATGTTTACCATCAACACTGTGAGAACGACTGAAGTTTCCTTATACAAAAAAAGAGGTGCTACTTCAGACTCAGTCACTACTATTTTTGAAAAGCACAAAACCAACAGAGCCTCAGAGGGGGCTGACCCTCTTTCTGGATCCCACCTCCATCCCCCCGACCTTACATAGTGCTTTCCTCAGCAGCCACCGAGGCCCCCAGCTCCCTCTCCAAAGATGGTGGGTTCCTTCCAGTGGGTGCAAAGTGAGAGCCCCAGTGATGGGTGTTCACAGTAGGTCAGTGTGAACAACACCCGAGGACCTGCCTGGGCCAGCTGGGGCCTCGTTTTGCTTTGGTCTGAAAGACATTTTTGTTTTCTGGTGAGAACAGCCCCAGCCTGGCCAGGAGCCGGCCAGCGGCAGGAATACAAACCCTTTCATGTGACAGACCCAAGTGGAGTGATGCCCTCCTGCCAGCAGCAGGCCCTCCCCTGCAGCTCCTGGGAGATGGCCATTTGCATATTTCCCATTCATCCTGGCCTTGAAAAGGAGGCCTGAGTTCCCAGTGCTCCCTGCCCACTGAGGGCTGGGCTGCTCCAGTCTAGTGTTAACTCTGTGGACACTGTAGGCTCTCACAGGCCAACAGCAGAACTTGACCGCTTGCTGCTGGAGGGAGGGCAGCTTAAGGCTGCAGCTGCTGTGCTGCCTGACCTCCAGAGTGGAGATTCAGGAGGTGGCAGATTCCTGTTGACCAGCACAGCCTTTTGCTAAACTGGAGAAAATTCAGATTTGTTTCTTCTTGTGGCATTCAGAAGAGGAATTTTGTCAGACTATGGGGATGCCAGAATATTCAGCTATTTACCAGATTTGCCAGAAAATGCACCCTTAACCAAAGGCAAAACTCTTTTTGTCTTGCTCACTTTCTAGTCTACAAAAACATTCAGTGACTCTTTAATGGTAGGTGAAGGAGCCATGCAGGATCCCGGCTGCAGCAGCAATCCCTTTGCCAAGGGTGGAGGAGCACAGCTTGCCTGGGACACTTTTGCATACCAAACCCCCAGGGCTGAGTGCCATTAGCTTATGGGCTGTGACTCTGAAGGCATGAGGCAGATATACAGTACCCATCACCATCTTTTTCCTTTCTCCCCACAGCTAAGTGCCATCCTGCCAGCCTCAGCTTCTTGCCCCCGTCCTCAATGCAGCCAGGCCTCTGCTTCCTTCCCGCCACTGTGTGAGGGCTCCTGCCAGGGGCCCCAACATCTTACAGGCTCTTCCTGTGACTTACCAACACACTTCTGCCACTCTGCTATAGCCTCGTTCTCCTCCCTTTCCCACCCAGCTCGGATCATCTCCTTGCTCTCCCTCCCTGGCTAAGGATGTCTCAGGTTCTATCTTTTGGGCATATCTCCCCTAGCACATGTCCACAGGAGACCAGCAGGGCTCCTAAGTGAACAAGCAGGCAAGCAAATACCTCTCTTGCTCCCCCCACCTCAATGACCCCCAACCATATCTTGGCAGGACCCTTCCTACTTCAAGGAGCTTCCCTCTAGCTGGAAGAGGTTGCAACCCATCCTGCATGTACCCCAGCCAGCTGCAGTTGAGCTCTGAGTGCATGGCCTCACCATGAGCAGCCCATATGCCCTTTACTGGTTCAGGCTTAGTTTGCAGTATGTCCTAAGTTTGAGCCAGTGACAGAAATGGATCATTGCTCCTGAGGCCAGGACACCAGCAGTCCTAACGTGGACATGGCCGGGAAGGCAAAGGATCATGTTACAGCCACAGGACTTGGCTTCCTGCACAGAAGGACTTGCCAGGGAGTGTTCCGCTGCCTGTGAGGTGATTGTGGCCCTGGTCAGTATTCATAGGGTCCTGCCTGCTGTCCCAGGGCTTGGCGTGGAAGGAACTGAACTCGTCCACACCATCAGTCCTGGTTGTCATACCCTGTAAATATTTCCAAAGGGACCACTGCTGTTGTTTTAGCTCCTGCTATCCCTCTTTGCCCTGAGAACTTTGTCCTGCCTGATTCATGGTGAGCTCAACCTTTATCTCAGAGCGTGTGAAAGACACTGTGTATCTGTTTGCTCCTCTCTTCTCAAGGCTATTCATATTTTAAAGTTCCTGAAAGCATTGTTTGTGCCTGGCTTCCTGGTGTTAGCATCAGGAATGTGGACCCAGATTCCCTGAGCAGGGCTTAGGGTAAGTGAGATTTTTGATAGGTACTGTCATGAAGATGGGGAGGCCAGCGGGTGGTGGAGGCTGCTAAAGGGAGGCATGTTCACAGTGAGCTTGGGCTAGTTGCAACAGGTGGCTCTGTAAAGTGCTCAGTCACAGCCAGCCTTAGTTGGGCCTTTCTACATTCAAGGGGCTTAATTGAACCATCAGAGCTATGATCAGGCGCCTTGGGGAGGCTTGGCAGGTGATCCACCATGTAACCTGGCAATCCCATATCGTATCCTGGACCTCTGTCTCATGGGGGATGCACAGTGGGTCTCACTTGGCAATTCCCAAGTCAGGGAGCCTCTTTGCTCTATTTCTGCCCTGGTCTTATGTGGTTCTGCGAATCTAATTAAAACCCAAGAGGAAAATGGAGAGCAAGCCCCTCTCTCACAGCAGAGACAAGCTTGAATCCCTGTGTGGAGAGGGTAGGTGTTAGGCAAGTGTGGGTTGCTGTGTTTGCACCTCTGCAGGTCAGGGTTGCACATGTGTAACAGTGAAGGCTGTGCATTTCTTAACCTGGCGACTGGGCTGCACACTGCCTAGGACAAAACTACTCCCTCAGCTCTATGCCTCTGGCACTCTGGGATTTCCCACCGACCACTGGATTTCCTGCCCCAGAGACTGCCTTGAGAAGCATTAAAGGAAGCTTTCGTATTAAAAACATCTCTGAAGATATCTGGAGAAAAGTAAGGGTCCTGCCTAGAAGAAAGGGGAAGTGACTTTGTGGGCTGATCAGGGGTCCTCACATATTTGTTCATTTTAATCTGGGTAGGTTGGGGGAAGCTAGGGCCAAGTTCCAGATGAGGGTCGCTGAGGCAGGAAGCTCTCCTCATGGCTCACCCAGATGGTAGGGTGAGTAGTGGAAGCCGTTATCAGCTCCAGGGAAGGTGTTGCAAGCCTGTGGGCTTCAGACTTGCCAGGCAATTAGGCAAACAGCTTTCAAGAGGGAGCTCAGAGCACTGGGTCCTGTCCTGGGACATTCTTGCAGCAAGGGAGCAGGGTTAAATTTGGGTGGACAGTGGCCCAGTGCAGGCAGACTCATAATTGCCCAGAAGCACCTGATGTGGGTAGGGCCTGGGGGCAGTGGTAAGCTGGGTCCTGTGGCCTGGACTTGTCTTTTACTTATTAGCAGGTGCCACCATGAGTCTAGCTGTCTGTCTGATGATCAGAATGAATGTCCAATTCAAAATACGCAGTAATCATATTTGTGTGCTCAGCCGCATGTTAGCCTGGAAGTAGGAGTGAAAATGCTATGGAAGTAGCCACCCACAGCCCTAAGCCTCACAGATCTTGCAGTAGTGAGACCTCCGGGAGTCCCTGGGACCTCAGTCTCTCAGTCTGGCAGAGGTGCTGCAGGACTTCAGAGCTCAGCTTTGGTCCTAATAGGCAAGGGTGTGAGTTCTGGCTCAGGGTGACCATTCCTGTGCAAGCCAGGCAACAATATCTCTTAGTGCAGGCCTGACAGCAGGGCTGGTGTGCTGCCCTGGGGTCTTGTGGTGGAGATCAGCCACTATCTTCCACCTGCTGGCTCTGATCCTTGGTCCAGAGTGTCCTCACTCCCCAGAGCATCCCTAAGCAGATGTTTTATCTGGAACTGTGTTGTTTCCTCTTCCCAAGTAGATTGACTGTGACTGTGACCTTGTGGGGGTGGGGAGCAGAGGCAGCCCCTGGGAGCGGCTGGAAGCAGAATATCCCGGGTGGCTGGTGCAGTCGCTCTCAGTGCCAGAGAGCTGGCATCCCCACCCCCTACTCCCCACTACTTCCTGTCACTCCCCCACCACCCTCTACACACATAAACTCATGCTCACTGCAGTCCCAAGCCCATCGCAAAGGTCTGGCCCTAATCGTTGTCTCAAATGGATGTGTAAGGAGCCTTTGTTTTTTAAGAAACCCGCCTGGCAAACTCCCTTTCCGAACTGCAAACAGGGTGAGGTGAGGGGAAAAGCAAGGGGGTGCAAGCTGAGGCTCTGGCACACTGGCAGGGTGAGGGTTAAGGCTGGGTTGCTTGGCTCTGAGCTGATCTGAGCCAGCACCGCCCTGCATGCAGATGGGGGTGGGGCTGGCGGGGGCCTTGAGGGGCCAGCAACTCCTTACAGAACTGCTCTGTGCCCTGGTCCCTGCCAGACCTGCTCCCACAGCCACCAGGGAGCCTGCACCACCACTGCTAACGCCTCTACCGCCACCCGGCTTCTCAGAGCAGGCGGCTGTTGCCATCGGCTGTCCCCAGGAGGGCAGACTCGGGGCAGGGCCTTCACCACTTTGTGCTTTGATCAAGATGTGGTAACTTCTTTCCCTGGGCCCCACAGGCCCTGTAAAGGGAGGCTGGTTCTAGTGGGACGAGCTCAGCCGCCTCCCCAGTGCCAGGAGCCTGCTGGAAAGGTAGGGTGTGAATGCATCTACTTGGGCAAGTTGTCTTTGAGCCCCTTTGGCTTGCAAAGAGATGGAGTAACTGCTTCAGCTACTTACTGTCTACTAAGTGTTTCCCTTACTACATTCCTGGCACTGCACTCTTGGTCCATGAGCTTGTTTGAGATGAGGCCCAGAGGGGCAAAGTGACCTGCCCAAGGCCACACAGCTATCAAGAGACTGAGTCAAGATTTGGACCCAGGTCAGTTCAGCACCGGAATACCCTCTTTGGGCCCTCTCCCAAGCTTGTTTGCTAGGGTCCCTGGGCCCTGGGAGGGGTTGTAGTTTTCTTTTAGGGTTCTTCACTTGGAGTTGAAGAGATTCTTTGATGATTTGGTGGCTGGGCTTGAGCTTCTCCACCCTTTTTGAAGACCTTAGAGGTTTTCAGAGGCCCAGAACTCCATAATATGAAGCCCTATTAGAGAGACTGATACAGAGGAAGCTGGAGTGATTCTAAGGGGAGGGAAGAATCTGAGGATCATGGAGAGCCTCAGTGTGATCATTAGTTTGGACGCTGGTCCTAAGGCAATAGGAAGCCAGATAAGATTTTTGAGCAGTGGCATGACATGATCCTATCTACATATCAGGAAATAACTTTGGTAACAGCGCAAGCACCTGTTAGAGCAAGGAGACCTATGGAGAGGGTGGTATGGGAGACTGGGCTTTGCTTGGTGGTGGCTGTCAGGCCAGGGGCTATTGGGGTAGAGAGGAGTGGTCGGGTATCCAGCTAGACAGTGAAGCCTAGAGTATTGAGGTTAGGAGGCTGGACCAGCAGAGGGTTCTTGGAGCCATGCCAGGGTCCCCAGGGCCATTTCCACAGTGACTGTGCTCTGGGGCTTTGCTTCTGCCACCCCACCACCTTGGAACCAACATATTTCCCACCGGGGCCCTTTTCTTCCTGTTCTCTCCCGTGCTGGATTGCCCTAAATCAGCAGAGGGCATGCTGAGGTGGGAGGAAGTTCCAGTTTCCTCAGCCTTAGATACTACTTGGTATTCTGAACTGGTCTGTGCTGAAGAAAAAGATGTCGGATATTCCAGGAAGAGAGGAGGAGGCGGCTAGTTCATGTCAAGTGGCTTGTTCATGCCTGGGTCCTCCTGCCAGGTGAATATTTACAAACACAGCCACTCACCTGGCAACACCAGCACCACTGATTCCCTTGAGTGCTGTCCACACTCCCCTTGCCCCCGACACACACACAATACACATCTCTGCTGCAGCCAAGAGAGTCTCTTGGGGTATGGAAGGAGGCAGCACAGCTGGGACCCTAGAGACCACCAAGCCCTACCCCAGGTCAAAAGAGAGGTGTAGAGGTCAGAGGAGGCCAAGGCCCTGTGAAATAATGAGATGAGACCAGACTCCAAGGCTGAGGCTCTGCCCTCCCCATGCCAAAGGCTTGGTGGCTTGGGCTGACTGTGAGGCCCATGTCCTCAGGGGACCTGGACTCACAACTCTGCCGTGCAGTGGCTCCCAGGTCTGAAGGGAACCTCAGTGTAAATGCAAGCAGTTCTGACTGACTGAGAAGGTTGGTAAGCCGGAAAGAATGAGACCCTCTGGTTGCTGCCCAGCCAAGGAGGGGTGCAGGCCCAGCCTCAAGGCCAGAGGAGCTGCCACTGCTGCAAATACCTCCTTTGGGGTGAGCACCTAAGTAGAAGTTGTAAGGAGGAGTGGGCAGCCCAGCCCTTTGTGCACTGCGTTCCATCACCCCAGGTAGGAGGAGAAGGACTCAGCCGGGAGAAGTTGGTGAGTTCTTGATGTGAGACCAGGAAGAAGCCCACCCATGTGGGCTGGCGAAAAATAGCAAATGACTGGCCTGACTGGCTTGTCCCCTCACACAGGCTCTGGTGGCCTTGCACTTCCCCCAGCCCCTGAACCCGGGCCTGGGTTCTTCCAAGCAGCTGGAGCTGGTTGTCTGTGGGCTCAGTGCCAATGCAAAGGAAAGGATGGATTGTGAGAGTGGGCCCAGTGTTGGCAGGGGCTGGGGTGGCCATACCACATGAGGGGCTGGCATTGAGACTGCAGTCTTGGGCTTGAGTCCATGCTCTACTACTTCTTTACTGTGTGCCTCGCTTGCTGAACAAGGTGGCTTCTCCAGTGGAGTCTCTGTGCTCCCACCTTAGAGGGAGTACCTGCAGCTGTTGTGAGGGTCAAACAGTACAGTGCATAGGAAAGGGCTGCCCAGGCATCAGGAATTCCGGAATTTTAGGCCAAGTCCCCTTCTTCCTCCCACTGAGGACCATGGTAATATGGTGATTGCTGAAAGCTCAGCATATCCAAGAGGCCAGCCCCACAGACTTGTAGCACTGATCTTTGTATGAGATTTTGTGGTCTCAGTGCTTTATTTTCTGCACAGAATATTCTGTTCCCTAAGTGTCCCATGTACTCTTTCAACTCCAGCCTTTGTATATTTACTTTCCTCTGCCGGGCCACCCTTTCGTCTTTATCTTTCATTCTCAGGATCAATATCACTTCCTGCCAGAAGCCTGCCCTGACTCCCTCATATCTGTGTCAGGCAGCTTTTCTGGCTCCCCATGTCTGATCATAGCACTGCCCATTTCCTCATGTGTCCTCCCCATGGGACCGAGGGCAGGCCCAACTCTGAGCTAGATGACAATAGGGACCGTGTGAGGGTCTGCTAGATGGGTAGAAGGACAGGTGGATGACTTGGCTAATCTGGGCTGTGCTCTGCAAAAACTCTAGCATTGCACCGAACGCCACAATACACAAAGCTTAGAGTCCATGAGCAACTGCCAAGGACCAGGGACTGGTGGTAATGAGGTATCCTTCCAGGGTTCCCTTTAAAACTTTTGGGATATATAGCTGAGCCCTCATGCTACGCATGAGTTTTTTGTTCCTTGGCTTCTCAGATCATTGAGTCAGTTCATCTCCTTTAAGAAAAATGTCCATCAGCTCAGAACCCACCCTAAGAGCTGGCGAGCATGTCTGGATTTTCTACTAAGTAGTGAGTCATTTATCTGAGAGGCCTGACTATGATTTTATCTTCCCATCTGCAGCTTAGGGAAGTAAATGTCCCAGGCCAGCAGGTCACCTACCCAGAGTCTTCTCCAGAGTGATTTTCCCTGGTGAATCCACTGTGGTCCGTAGCTTGTCCTCTGCTTTATTATGCAGAAGCTGAATTGGATGGATATGCTAGGAGTGGGTTGTTCCTCCAGGATGGTCTCATAACTGACCCAGCTCAAGGAAGCGCCTATTAAAACTGGATTTCCAGCTCAGGAGCACAGTGACAATACCACACTTGGCTAGAGGCTCACCCAGAGCCTATGGGTGCTGATGAGTGTTCCCAGGACTCAGCCTGCTGTGCCATCTGCAGAGCATAAACTCCTGTGGGGCCACAGTGTCCAGGCCAAATCACCTGTGCCCAGTGCTTGAACCAGTCCTGCTCCTGACCTCTTTTCATGTGTCCTGGGCTGAGCAGTCCTCTTGGTTTGATGAGCATATTCTTTAGCCATCTCTTTAGTCCTCCAAACATGCCAGATGCAGTGCAAGAGGCTTTATATGTCTAAATTGTATTGCCCTCATTTTAAAGATGGGGAAGTGGAGGTTCAGAGAGGAAGGATAGGCTCAACTTTGCATTGCTCATAAGAGAAGGAGAAGGAATTCTAACTAAAGAGTTTTTTGACTGTCTCTGCAACTGACTTCATCTCTGGTGTTTTGATGTTATGGTTTAGCACAAATGCCATTTATTGGGAGTTTAGCAGATCTCCCCTCTCTCAGGGGTCAAGCAATTGTTTGACTCATATCCCATGGCTGCAGAGTAGCTGCTATTGCATTCTCCTTGCTTCCCTTCTTGGAAGCACAGCCATGCTTCCAAAGGCCAAGGGCCTGTGAGGAGGGTACCTGTGGATGGTACAGGGCAGCCTCAAGCCCATCCTGCCATCTCTGGGCTGGCAGACCTGTAGGTACCTCTAGCCTCAGGTCCTACTAGGCAGTGACATGAGGGGGTCCCATTGGGGATGCCAGCACCCATCACCTTGCCCACCCTTGATAGTTTCCTCAGTTCCAAGCAAGGTGCAGAACCCCTGAGCCAAGCTGGCTGTGTATTTGCTCTGCCAACACTGCCTCACTTAGTGGCTGAGAGGAGGATGCAGGAGGCCCCTGGGGCCTGCTTCTCTTTCAACCATTCGCCAGTGCTTCTCACAGAGACCTTCCTTCTGTGTACCCTAGGGCATCTCCCATGTCTCCCTGATGGACCCACTGTACCCGCTTGGGCTGTAGTGGGTGAGGGTGGCTCCCTGGCCGCCATCTGTGACATGGCAGGAGATGTTGGTCCCCTGGGGAGCGCACACAGCACTCTGCTGAGCCATTTCGCTCTGAGCGTTGGTTTCTCTTCCTACCAGTTTAACACCTTCTCTCCTCTGCCACCTGCCTTGCTTCTGAACACTTGCTGATGGGATCAGGGAGGACAGCACAGGGCCCAGTTATGGCGGGGCCAGCTGTCCTCTTGGTACTCGGTCAGGGACAGTGCAGAGCCATAGTGCTCATACAGTCAGATAGGTCTTCACCTTCACATCATGACGGCTGGAGTATTTGTCAGGGCTGATCTGCAGTCTGCCCTGCCCCGCTTCGGTCTCAGTCTCGCTCAGGGTCATGGCCTGGAGTTAGGAGATTAGAAGTAGAGTGGGAGGAGCCTGCATTCCTTCACCCCTGGGCACCGTGCTGAGCACTTCTACTGCCCTTCCCTCTTCTCCACACCCCAGGAGCAAAGATAAGTAAAACGCTATGACAGCAGTCACACAGGAGAACAGAGCACCCAGGCCCTGAGGCCCGGGAGGCATCATTCCCAGAGCTGCCAGAGCAGTGGTCCTGGAAAATATGGAAGCAGCTGTCAGCCATGGCCCAGGGCCTGAGCGTGTGGTTCTCAGGAAAACTGGGCAGGATGTGTGACGGCAGAAGGTTCTGGCCTCTTCCTGGGAAAAGCCCTTCTAGGTAGCCAGCTTCTGGGGTGCACTCTGTACATCCGAACTCCCCCAGGGCCTGCCCTGTGGTGTATCAGACCAGATATCAGGTCCTGTGACCCAGGACCCCTCCCTAACCTGCTCGTCAGGTCTCTTGCCTCATCTGACTCTTGTTTTCAACAGAGTTTGTCCTCTCACTTCTGGAGAAGATGCAGACACAGGAGATCCTGAGGATACTGCGACTGCCTGAGCTAGGCGACTTAGGCCAGTTTTTCCGCAGCCTCTCGGCCACCACCCTCGTGAGTATGGGTGCCCTGGCCGCCATCCTCGCCTACTGGTTCACTCACCGGCCAAAGGCCTTGCAGCCGCCATGCAACCTCCTGATGCAGTCAGAAGAAGTAGAGGTGAGCAGGGTAGGAGACGTTCCACTGCGGAAAGTAGGGGGCAGAAGACAGGCATCTTGGAAGTTGAAACCAGACTTGTGGCTTATTTGACCTCACATGGCCCAGGGAAGCTCTGTCTCTCCTGGCAGTCAGTCACCTAGCTCTGCAGCAGCCTTGGGCAGGGTCTCTTACCAGGCACTCCTGCCTCTCCCAGCAACTGCCTCTGGGCAGAGCCTGACCTGGGCCTTCCACTGGGCCTCCGGTTTGCCTGCTTCTCGGGTAGGAGGGCCTTGGCTCATTGGTATTACAGTAGGAAGCCTAAGCAGGTTCATGAGGAGCTGCCTGGTAGATTCCCTCCCAAACTCTCCCGGTCTGGTCCTGGGACCCAGGATTCAGCCTACCTCTGGCCCTGCTCTCCCTGAGCACGTGGACTCACACATGGTGCCACCAAGGGGAAGACGATACAGGGGCCAGTGGACAAGGGTGTTCTAGGCTAAGACTGGAAGGACTGGTGAGGTGTGTTTCATTACTAAGTTTATGGAATTTATTTTTGCCTTTTAAAAATTTGCTCCTCTTTAATTCTGTTCATTTGGAATAGATAATGTATTCACATAGTCCAAAAGAAACAAATGGAATGTACTGAAAAGCTTCTGTCTTCTTTCCTGCTCTCCCAGTTCTCTTTCCCTGAGGCAACCTGCTAATGCTGTGTCCTGGCCATGAGCAGATGTGTAGAGACACTCACCGTGTTTTTACTCATATCCACCACATACCCTGTTGTGCACCTTGCCTTTTGCTCTTGACAATGCACCTTGGCTATCATAAGCATGTTTTGTTTTGCCTTGTAGGGGAGAGTGCAGGTTGAGGTAGGGGCTGGGATCTTCAGGGCATTTTTCCAGCAGAAGAATGGTATGTGCAAAGGTGCAGGTGTGTGCTGAAGCACATGGGGGCTTTGTGTGGGATGCTGGGTAGTGGAGAGGGGCTGGAGATGGGCCGGCCAAGTGCTGTGGAGAATGGCCTTTGGTGACTGGCAGTCCTGGGTTTGAAGCCTGGCTATGCCTCTGAGTTGTATGGCCCTGGGCAGTTTCTTAACTCTCTGAGTCTCAGGGCCCTCAGTTGTAAAGGGTGTAATAAAAAGAGTACCTGCTTTCTAAGGTGTGGTAAAGATTGGGTGTGATGACCCAGAGAAGTCACTAAGGACAGCTGTTTTTGGTTAAGCTTGTGATTATATCACATCTGGAGAGGTCAGCAAGGACAGAACTCCATGAACTGTGCAGGGACCAGCAGGGGGAACAGCGTGGAGCTATTAGAGGTTTTCAGTAGGGAGAGACATAGCCAGTTTGTGCCATAGAAGGGTGGGTGTGACAGGGGCAAGCGTAAGAAAGCAGCTGCAGGCACCTGGGTTGGAGGTGACAGTGGTCTGGATGGTGTCAGAATGGTGAGATGGATGACCCTGGCTCATGTGTAGGGGCCACTGAGTGAGTCACCTTGTGGGTCTGGAAGACAGGACATGGGATGAAGCTAATGCCTCCCTTCCTGGAATGACTGCACCCTCCATTGCCTCATCCCCCAGGAGCACAGAAAGCGAGAGTGGCTGCACCAGAGTAGGCAAAGGAGACAGTGGTAGGAAACGAGATGGGAGAGGCAAGAGGGGCCCAGATCAGACAGGGCCTGGCAGCATTGACTGTGCCTGCTATGTGGTGAGAAACAATTCAGATCATGTCACTCCCCCTGGCCTGAAATCCTCTCCTGGCTCCCCATTACCCTCAACCTCAAGTCTATATTCTTTTCCTTGATCTGCAACCTCTCTGGCCTCCTCCCCAATCATTGCCATCTGGAGCTCCATGAATTGCCTACAGTTCCCCAAACGCACCTGTGCCTCCTGCTGGTGCATTTGCATGTGATGCTGCCTATGCCCAGGTTGCTGTTCTCTCCTTCTCACTCTGCCCGGCAACCCCTGTGCATCCTTCGAAGCCCAGCTTGGCAGCTGCTCGCTAACACACATGCCCAGTTGTTGAGCCTCTTCTGTCCCTGGCATACAGTCTCTCCTTGTACCATATCTGTTGCCCAGGTGCCAACTGGGTCTGATTGGATGTGTCCCAGCTTCTCTTGCAGGTCTTAGGTGGGCTTGGTTCTTGAAAGCACTGGCCAAGCAGAACTTTCCGCTCCAAAACAGTTGGGAGCTCCCTGTGGTTTTGAGTTTGGCTGTTTGCTTTCTGGTTCTCACAGATGTTTTTTTCCTTAGACCTGCTGTTCCAAGAGGTGGCAGGTTCTGGCCCAGCCCAGGGTAGCTCAAATAGTGCTTGAAGAAGAGGTGGAGCTGTGAAACTGGAGAGCTGTGAAACTCTCGCCCCTGGGGAGGGGTGACAGGGTGGAAGGGGAGGAGGCAGGAAAAGGCTGGCTCTTCGCCCTACTCACCAGCACCGAGGGGGTTTGCCACCTTCCACTCTGCAGCCGTGCCTCTTTGGGCCCAGGAACTTGCTGCCTGCCTCTCCTCCCTCATTGCACATGAACATAATTCAGCCTGTCCTCCCTTCTTAGCCTCCTAGGCCTCTGTGTCTGGGACAGAACCTTCAGCACAGTCCTCTAACTCACATCATTACGTGAATGATGGGTGGCAGCCTTCTTAGCTAACACCACACCCAACTGATCCTTAACTCGGGCATAGCAGTAGGTGATGGGATGGGAGATACCTTGGCAGGTTGTTCCTGAATCCAGCCAATACTCCCCACTGTGTTGTATGAATGAGCCATGGGTGTGTATGAACAGTAACTAAAAACTCTGGACATTCTGTATATGCTGACCTGCTGTGTGAAAGCTGTATGTGTGTGTGGAGTTTGTATGTGAGGACACTGGCATACCCAGCCTTCATGCATGAGCCAACTATGTTGGAGTGTGGCTACATGCAGATCGAGTGTGTACAGTCCAGGTGTGTGTAGTCCATGTGTACGTGGGCACACAGATGCCACAGTGCTAACTGCATGCACGGGTTGTACATCTGAGCTGTGTACAGCCTTGTGCATGCTGCGGCCCTCTCCTGGCACCCCTACCTGCGTCAGCCAACTTCTCTGGCCGGTGCTTGGCTTGTAGGACAGTGGCGGGGCACGGCGATCTGTGATTGGGTCTGGCCCTCAGCTACTTACCCACTACTATGATGATGCCCGGACCATGTACCAGGTGTTCCGCCGTGGGCTTAGCATCTCAGGTGAGAAGGGTTGTGGGGGTGTGGAGGGGCTATGTGACAGGGGTTGAGTGGGTGCGAGGATGGGTATACAAGCATGATACCAGGGACATGGCCGGTGAGCTATCCCCAGGTTCAGTGGAGAGAAGCTACTCCTGGCCTTCCTCCTACCAGTCAGAGAAGCAGCTGCATTATATGGCTAAAGGGCTGACCTCAGCTTTGTTCCAGCCCTTGGGACAGCTTGACCTTAGGCTATCTCTTGGCCCACACTCTATACTCTTGGGGAGCCTTGAGCTGTCAGGCCACTGGCTGGCATGGTTCTGAACCTGAACCTCTGAGATGTCTGGGTGCTCTCAGGGTAAGAGGCAAAGAGAGGCAGCCTACCACCTCTTCCCAGTGGCCCCCAGGTGTCTGTATCCTTTGGGTCTGTAACAGGGATCACCACACAAGTTACGGTGGGGACTGGGCACTGCATCATTCCCCATTTCAGACCTCCCTGATCCCTGGGGTGATGCCATACTTGTGTGCTTTGGGCCCTCTTGGGCTTCAGCAGATTAGACAGGTAGCTGGCAGTGCAGGAGGGAAGTTCACTTGGCCCATGGACACACTACAGTATGGGATGTCCATCCAGGTTTCTGATGGGCGGATGCAGGTGGCACATCCACTCTGACCCCTCCCTGCCACAAGGCTTTCTTATCTCTCTGCAGGGAATGGGCCCTGTCTTGGTTTCAGGAAGCCCAACCAGCCTTACCAGTGGCTGTCCTACCAGGAGGTGAGTGATAGAGGACAGGCCCCACCCTGGCCACCCATACAGATCTGGCACTCAGGGCGGGTAGGGAGGGATGCGGGCACCTGCTGGGTCTCGGAGGGTCATTTATTTCCCTGGTCTGTCTGCCAAACTCCTGGCAACAGCCTTGAAAGACTTCCAGCATACCTGGGTTGGGAGTCAGGAAGGTCCCTCAGATCTAGAAGAATCCTGGCCGGGCGTGGTGGCCCATGCCTGTAATCCTAGCACTTTGGGAGGCCAAGGCGGGTGGACTGCCTGAGCTCAGGAGTTTGAGACCAGCCTGGGCAGTGAAACCCTGTATCTACTAAAATATGAAAAATTAGCCAGGTGTGGTGGCATGCACCTGTAATCCCAGCTACTCAGGAGGCTAAGACAGGAGAATTGCTTGAACTTGGGAGGCAGAGGTTGCAGTGAGCAGAGATTGTGCCACTGCACTCCAGCCTGGATGACAGATCGAGACTCCATTTCAAAAAAAAAAAAAAAAAAAAAAAAAAAGAATGCCTCCTGGGGATCTCCTTCCCCTGTTGAAGAGTCCTTGTTTTCTCATCACCTCCCCACATCTGTGTGCAGGTGGCCGACCGGGCTGAATTTCTGGGGTCTGGACTTCTCCAGCACAATTGTAAAGCATGCACCGATCAGTTTATTGGTGTTTTTGCACAAAATCGGCCAGAGGTGAGCATCCACCTTGACTGGTTTAGAGGGATTCGTGGGGTAGGGCTTGGCTACCATGGAATAGTCCTGCTTTCACTGTCTGTAGGGCCCAGGACAAAAGAAAAAACAGAGACCCTTGGGCTATGCCACCACTCCTCTTCCCACCCTGGCTCTACCCCTCATCAGCACTGGCCACCCCAGTCACGCTCCATCCACACCCCACCCAGCTCTACCAACAGCTGCCCCTTGAGCCGGTGGGGAGGAAAGACCTGAGGCATAGGCTCATGTGGGCCGTGGAGCTGTCCTTGGGGCAGTTTGGACATGAAATCCGGGAGTTACAGAATTCCCTGGGACAGGCCTGATCCACAAGGCTGTGGGTAAGCAGACACAACCCATTAACCTCATGGATTCCTTGCCACAGGCATAGGGCTTAGAGCAGGGACCCTGGTTACCTGGGCCTAAGGGCAGGACAGCCCTCTAATCTTCCCTCTTTCCCCACCTGCTGCCTTGTGTGTCTCCATAGTGGATCATTGCGGAGCTGGCCTGCTACACATATTCCATGGTGGTGGTCCCGCTCTATGACACCCTGGGCCCTGGAGCTATCCGCTACATCATCAATACAGGTAAGCCCACTGCCACCCCACCCTGCCACTGGCAGCTGGCCCCTAGCCTCCAGCTTCTCAGGTTATGCTGATTGTCTGACACTTGTAAGAGGCACTTTGCTCTCAAAAAATACTAGGGGCTTACACTGTGGGTCCTGAGTTGGCTTCCTGAGTCAAGCTGTCCCCAGTCAGACTTCACCTGTAGGTTCCTTCCACAGGGCTCAGCTGCCAAGAAGGAACCTCTGCAGCACCCTCCACACAGGGTACAACCCTCTGAAGTTCATGACAGCTTTGCACAGATGCAGGGGGTGGTAAATATCTCAAGCAGACCTGGGATGATGGGGGCAGAACCTGGAACAAAGGGAAGCTTGGAATCTGCTTGAAGAGGTTCCCTGGCCTTCTGCCCTTGGTTCCACCTAGGGCCCATGGCACGTTCCTCTGTACGTGAGGCCTGTCTTATGTATTTGTTTACACATAAGCTATGGGCACACGGCCCATGGAAGTGCTGCCTGGCACATGCTGCCTGCACTCATGGCCTGGGCCCACATGGCCTGACTGTCCTTGATGGCCCCCTGCAGCGGACATCAGCACCGTGATTGTGGACAAACCTCAGAAGGCTGTGCTTCTGCTAGAGCATGTGGAGAGGAAGGAGACTCCAGGCCTCAAGCTGATTATCCTCATGGACCCATTCGAAGAAGCCCTGAAAGAGAGAGGGCAGAAGTGCGGGGTGGTCATTAAGTCCATGCAGGCCGTGGAGGTGAGGGTCTGCTTCTGGGCGGTTTGCTGGGCTACCCTGGCTGGTCACCAAGTCAGAACTTCTGGTTATCTGTCCCTCTCATGCCCTGGGGTGGCTGTTTTGGGCCCTCAGGGTATATCAGTGTCCAGACAGGGCAGGCTTTGCAAGGGCTGGTGGTGGGTGGTGGGGTTGGTGCCCACAGGCATCCTCTGGGAAATAGGCTCTGTGGCTGGATCAGTTAATCCAGCCTCGCACTAGGTGCTGACTGGTGGACCGTGGTGCCAGCTTACCTCAGAGGTACTCACGCAGCCTCTGGAGCTTCCTCATTTCCAGCTAGCCTTAGCCTGTCTGTGTCTGAGGACTAGAGACATAGGTCCAGGAGTCTGGGAGAGGTTCTTGCAAACGTGATCCAGACCCCCAGCGGCCAGCAGAACGGATGTTTCTGTGCCTGGCCTCCCCAGAGACATCAGGTTGGTGGCAGTTTGTGGTCTGCTGGGGTGACACAGGACATTCTGGCCTCCAAGGCCTCAGGCCCTGCCCAGCAGCCGCTGACCCCCCACTGTGCCCTACTGGATCTAGGCCCCAGGCCCTCCTTCTCCTCCTGCCTCCCTGTGTGCTCCCCACTGTACTGGTAATGCCTATGCATTGTATCCCTCCCTGGCACTGGCAGCTGACCTACACTGGTAGCCCCCACCTGCCCCACCAGCACTGACTGCTCATCCAGAAGCCTAGTCCACCCAGCTGCTGCATCCTGAGCATGTGCCCAGCTGTGCCAAGAGCACTTTAAGCCCAACATGCTCACACCCGGATTGCCATCACACAGTTGGCATGTGCACACTGCTTAGCCTCTCCCTGGGGCTCAGGCTCCCTGTCTGTAATGTGTGGGGTGGCCTAGAACCTCTAGTCACCCTCCCTGTCTCCCAGGAGCCTCAGGCTTAGACGTCTGTCTGAGAAGAGGCCACTGAGATTGTGTCTGCCATGACCACCTCAGTTACCTCTTTGGAATCTTAAACTTTGGGCTTGATGCGGGAGTGAGGCCTACTGAGCTGTTTATTCTGATTTTTTTTGTGTGTGTGTGTGGGGTATATGTGTGTGTATGTATGTGTGTGTGACAGAGAGAGACAGAGACAGAGAGACAGAGACAGAGGGACAGAGAGAGAGAGAGAGAGAGAAATTTTGAGCATTTAAAAACAACATTTTCTTCTTTCAGGACTGTGGCCAAGAGAATCACCATGCTCCTGTGGTAAGCTAATCTGCCTTCAGGTCTTTACTGAGTAAGATGGTGTGCAGGGCTTGTCCTTACAGAGTCCCTCTCTGTGCACAGACCAGCACCTCTGTGTTAATAAGAAACTCCTTCAAGCCTGTAATCCCAGCACTTTGGGAGGCCGAGACGGGTGGATCACGAGGTCAGGAGATCGAGACCATCCTGGCCAACACGGTGAAACCCCGTCTCTACTAAAAAATACAAAAAACTAGCCGGGCGAGGTGGCGGGCGCCTGTAGTCCCAGCTACTCGGGAGGCTAAGGCAGGAGAATGGCATAAACCTGGGAGGCAGAGCTTGCAGTGAGCTGAGATCTGGTCACTGCACTCCAGCCTGGGCGACAGAGGGAGACTCCGTCTCAAAAAAAAAAAAAAGAAACTCCTGTGTGCAAGCCAGGAAATGCCCACTTGGGTGTCCAGGACTTCTGTGGGCCAAGGACCCAGGGAAGGACCTGGAACAGGAGTCAGGTATTTGGGAGGGAGAAAAAAGAGCTGCCAATCCTGGCCACCCTTGGTTCTTCAATTAACTTATTTGGGAAGTCTTATTTTCTCCCTATGAATATGGCAAACTCTCCAGAAGATGCAGTAGACAGAAGCAGCAACAGAACCAGAAATGGACTCTTGTGCCAAATGGCCTTGTGGCATCTGCTGTCTTTGTTCATCTTTGCTTTGTGAACTTTTCTGTGCGTCATTCCCATGTGATACTTCCTGGGGTTGAGCCACAGTGAGGACAGCTGCCCCTGGGATGGGCCATGTGGGGGTTTTCAACTTTCTAAAAGCCATCTGGCCTCCAGGCCTCCCTCCAGCTCAGTCCTTCCCTCTCCCTTCACACAGGCCTGAGCATGTCACCCCCGGCTTCCCAGGGCACTGCATGGGTAGCCCCTGGTGTTTGCCCATCTCCCACACATCAGGGCTCAGTCTTAGAGAACCACTCTCCCATCCCTCAGCACCCTTTGTCTCTTGTGCCTCTGCCTGTGCCCAGGCTGGTTCCTCTCCCCAAAACACCCACCCACACTTCATCTGGAGAAATCTTGCTTGCCCTTCCATCTCAACTGTCACCTCCTCTGGGAAACCATCCTCTACATGCAGTCAGACTTGGTGGGCTCCTTCTGGTGACCCCAGACTGTGTGCCCAGTGCCAGGGCAAGGGCTGATGCAGAGCAGCCTTGGTGACACAGTGAGCAGCTCAGTGACCGAGCCACACATGCTCCCAAGCTTAACCCCAGATACTTGGGAGAACATGGGAAGGAGGGAGGAAACTGGGTCACATCCACTAGAAAGGTCAGAGCTTTGATAGAGACTGAGATGTAGCCATTGCAACCCAATCCCACCTAGGATAATGCAGCCCAGACTCAAGTAGGGGAGGCAGTGGGACCAGATATGAAGTTGGTGGGACAGATTAGTGTTCACACCCCAGTTAGGTTTCCTCAACTTCTTTCTCTTTTTCCTGAGCGCTCACCTGCCCACCTTTCTGAGTGCAGCACACAGGAGCATGCAGGCATGCCCAACACATGCTCACACCCACATACAGCATACACATGGGCCTGGCTGGTGGGGGAGCTCAGGCATCTTGGGCCCTGGTTGGCCACACTGGGTCTCCCTAACACACTCCTCTTCTCACCCCTGCAGCCCCCACAGCCTGATGACCTCTCCATTGTGTGTTTCACAAGCGGCACAACAGGTAAGCAGAGGCACGCAGATCCCCAGCCACGGCTACCTGCACCCTTCCCTGGTGGCCTAGCAGGTGACTGCTGGAGTCTTTGATGCCCTCTTTGAAATGGGCTGAGCCTTGTCTGGTGCCTGGCTCCAGACACTGGGTCCCTCCTGCACCTCCCAGTGCCCAGCATAAGAGTGGCCAGATGCAGATGGACAGTGTGCATTGGGACGTCTAGTGTGAGAGCTTGGCACCTCCCAGAGCTGAGTCAGCAGAGTCATGGGCAGCTGGATCATGTGCTGAGGGAGGTCCTTTCTCACTGGGGTCATTTCTCTCTGGGAAACAGCTCTCACTCCCCTGCTTTCTGCCTCTACCTGGCCTTTGTGTTGGGGACTGGGGAGAGAGTGTGAGGTTTGGCGTCTGAGAGCCTTGGTTTGAGTCCTACCTCCACCACTTGCTGGGGAACTGTGAGCCAGTCATTTAACTTCTCTGCCACCAGTGTCCCCAATTTCTCATCTGCCATGAGGGTGGCTAAAGGTGCCAAGTGGGAGATGGGGCAGTGTGTGAAAGGACAATACAGATGCTCCACAGGCTGGAGCTGGTGTGCCATGAGCAAGGCTGTCAGGCAAAGCACACAAGCAGAAATGACACCCTCTGTGCTTGGAGTTGACAGAGGAGAACACACATCAACAGTGGCAGGAATAATCAAGGAAGGCTTCCTGGGGGAGGCAGAATGTGCAAGAGGACACAGCACAGGCACAACCCTCTGCATTTCTATAGCATGCTGTCCACCCTCTCTCTGCACCACTGGGGCCTCAGCACAGCCTGTGAGGTGAGCAGGATTGTCACCAAGTCTGCTTGCTCCAAGGGGACACCATCAGCAAGTAGAAGCACCAAGACTTGTGCCCTGTTCTCATAATTCCCAGGCCAGGGCCCTTCCCAGTGCTGCCTTTCCATCTCATCTGATGACGTGGATGTCACTTGCCTTGCCCTGAATGGGCAGGAAGTCTCCAGCCTTCTTATTCCAAACTGAGGATTGGCCCATCTTGATGGCAGCTCTCAGTGGGCAGTGAACTGGGGCGCTGCATGCCTTCTGCAGATGCAGCCTCTAAGGCATTTGGCAGATCTGTGACCAGCCCTATAACCAGGATTATTCATGTCAGTGGATCATGATAAATAACGCTTTATTGAATATCGATTTTTACCATTAAGTCATATGGGTTCAAGGATTTCTACCATATTCTACTAAACTCTGTCAGAAAAATAACAACACAGCCCTTCCTCTCCAGAGGCTGACATCCAGAGCCAACCCAGAATTCAGAAATGCCCTTCAGGTTTATGTTGCTTTTTAAAGAGCACTTTCCAGTGTCTTTTTGTCTTGAGTTTTACAATGTGAATTTTTGCTGACATGGTTTTGGAGAGCAGGTCACTGCTATGGCCTTACCTTTGGACCTGCCTTCAAAGTGTGCCTTCAGGCTTTTAACAGGTCACTTGGTCTTAAACATTGCCCTTGGATCTGGAGAAAAACGTCATGATGCAGAAATGTGCTGTTGCCTGGCTGGGGAGGGCAGACATCCTGTCCAGTGCTTTTCCAGACTGTAGGAAGCTAATCCATCCTGCTCAAGCTCTGTGTGGCGGAAGCAGAATGTGTGGGCCTCGAAACACAGGCTATGACTTACTTTCCCAGACCTCCCACTCCAAAGCTATGGCTGGTGCCTGGGCAGAGCTGGGGGAGTGAGCAGGGCTCTGGCCTGATATCACCCCACCTGGCTGTGCACTTGGATTTCCTTGGCTTTAGGCTAAGCCCGTGCTGTGCCTCTTGTATTCATCCTCTTGTCGGGCACATCAGCCTTGTGTGTCCTCAGCGTCACAGCCCAGATACAGCTTCCCTTAAATGTAAGCTAAATGTCCTGGCTCCCAGCCTTATCAAGGGCCACATTGTTCTTTTCGTGGGGAAAGATGGAAAATACAATCTGAACCTGACACTTGGCCCATGATTCTGGTGGAATCATTCCAGGAAGATTTCCTTCTTGGCATGCAGTGGAAAAATCTGTGGAGATTCCTAGAATAAGTCAGTACTTTGAGGTCCCTATTCAGGCCAAGAAGGTCTGGGAGGTGGTGAGAGCTTGTGGTCTGCCTGTACCCAGTGATGGCTGAGGGGTGGGCATGTGGTTTGCTATTCATTTCAAAATAACTGTTAGCTGAACTGGAATCTGAACCCACTCCCACATCTGAAAAAAAGACAATATGTGGGTGTAGCACAGCCCAGTTTGGGAAATTGGGTCCCTTGAATGATAGTTAGGATGTTTTATCCTTGTGAGCTCATATACCTTGTCTTCACAGCAAAGAAAATACAGTGTTTTTTAAAAACATAACTTCCAGTCTGTGTTTTTAGCAGTCTTTTTCGAATTCATCTATATTGATTCATTCAGCTCATTTTTGTGAGTACCCACTATGCATCAGACCTAGCATTAGGGGCCGAGGGCATAGGGATGAAGAAGACATAGGTTTGCACCCATGAACTCCCAGCTTGTGTCATCGGGCAGTTACAATATGGTGTGGTCACTGCCTTGAGGTCTGCATCCCTGCTGCATGGGGTACCCGGCCACTGAGAGGTCAGTACAGCAGGACAGAAAGGATTTTCAGAGGAAGTCAGTCTAAGCAGAGTCCTGAAGGATCGGTAGCTGTAGAAGCCGGGGAAGGGCATTCCCGGCAGGAGAAAGAGCATGTGCGGAGGCATTGTGGTAGCACAGAACACGCTGCTTTGAGGGAGTTTTGAGAGGAAAAGAGAGGGCCCCAGGCAGGGCCTGAGGGCACGAGCATGAGGGAGATGATGGGACAGGAGTTCCCAGTAGAGGTCAGGCAGGAGGGGTTGGAGAGGCTAGAGGAAAACAGGATCTGTCAGCATCATTTGTGGCTAAGTTGTAACTGGAGGATGTCACCATGAAATGACCTGCTGGTGCTCTTGACAAAGGTTGGTCCTCCCAGCACTTTGGGAGGCCGAGGTGGCTGGATCACGAGGTCAGGAGATCGAGCGCATCCTGACTAACATGGTGAAACTCCATCTGTACTGAAAATACAAAAAATTAGCTGAGTGTGGTGGCGGGCACCTGTAGTCCCAACTACCCGGGAGCAGAGGCAGGAGAATCGCTTGAACCCGGGAGGCGGAGGTTGCATTGAGCCGAAATTGTGCCACTTCACTCCAGTCTGGACAACAGAGCGAGACTCCATCAGAAAAAAAAAAAAAAAAAAAGGAGTGGTCCTGGGGCATGGGGTGGAGGACCTGGTTGCTGTGGACTGAGGAGTGAATGGAAAGTAAAGATGTTGATTCAGTACAAGCATGTGTGCACTTCTTTCAGGAAGCTTGGCCATGCCACCAAAAGGCATGCTCCATCATGTTCATAGCAACACTGGAAATAATTCAAATGTTTATTTGCTTATAGTAGAACATTATGTCACAATGTTGAGCAAAAGAAACCAGGCACAAAAGATTGTATGATTTCTTTCATATAAAATTATAAAACATCATAAATTACCCTGTGGTTTTACAAATCAGGATAGGTGATGTCTTCTGGGATAATGGCACCCTGGAAGGGTGATACAGGAGCCTCTGGGACACTGGTGATGTTCTATGTCTTGATCTGGGTGCTGGTTGTATAGCCAAGTTCACTTTGGAAAACTCCATTGACCTTTACACTTATTTGGGCACTTGTCCATGTGTGTGTTATACTTGAGAAGAAAGTTGGTGGGTTTTTTTTTTAGATAGTTGACTATGAAGATATGGCAGAGAGTGGGATTGGCAGCTGGTGGAGTCAAGGGCTTTGGGGGAGGTTTGTTGCTCTTCTGGAGATTCTGAAATTGTTTCTTATGGCTGAGAAGGGGCCACTGGAGACAGAGGAAAGGAAGAGGATGCTCAAGCACCAAAGCCCCCGAAGCTTTAGTGTGGGTTAGGGAGAGAGGAAGCCTCCAAGCACCAGGGAGGAGATGGCCCTGCTAGGAAGGAAGGGGTAGGAGCAGAGTCTGGGAGGCCGGGAAGATGTGGGGAATCCTCTGACAGCTTCTGCCTCCTTTGTGGAGTGGGAGTCAGAGTCCTGGCTGAGGGTGAGAGGAGTCTAAAGGGGGCATGTGTTGACAGTTTCTGGGAAGAGAGCCCCTCTGGGACAGAGGCTGTGAGCCTCAGGGGCTGTGCTGTGGAGGGAGCGGGAAGGTTGGCAGCTGGATTGGCTTGGTGAGGTTTTCAGAATGGGATCCTTGGGGAGCCCCAAGAGCTGAAGCACTTGACGGGAGAGTGCCTGAAGGGAGGGACACGGGAGTCAGCGTGGGAGGAAGGGAGGCAGGGATGAGAGGGAAGATAGAAGGGGAGGTGCCACAGGTCTGGAGTCATATGAAAGTGTCTCAAAGCATGAGGGATCAATTCTAAGCACTGGCTATGGGCCTGGGAGGCTGAGGGGGTGGAGGCCATTCAAATTGGGGCATCCCTTCTGTTCTAACTGAGGATGCCCATGAAAGCCCAGGCATCTGCAGTCATTTAGCTGAGCATGTAAATGCCCATCAGCCCCAGAACTGTGGCTACTCAGAGGTGGGCTTTCTGGGGAAAATGTTCACCATGACCTATTCGTTTTGTGCTATTTGGTTCAAGACCTGTATGAATGTAGACATAAAATTACATCTCAGCACTCCTACTATACAGCTATAGAATTACTTAATCTCTCTTAAGCTTGTTTTCTTGGGTATTAGATGACACTTAACTTACTGCATAGAGTTGTTTCAAGAAATAACTGATTTACCATGTATGAAGTGCCCAGCACAGTGCCAACATTAGTGGGTGTTGAATACTTGGCTACTATTGTAGTTATTATTTCTATTCTTACTAGCCCTCAAGTCTGATTTTTAAAAAATTGATGGATATGGGATTGATAAAAGTAAGACTCAGACCTAAAGATTTGAGAGCCTTTAGCAGGAAGACGAACACTCTACCTGCATTATGAAACTTCCAGAGAATTTCAGTCACCAGTAACTATTATAACCCACCTTTGACTATTTAAAAGCAGAAACAAGCAGCCAGAATCCCCCAGCTGGGTGGCCCAGAACTGTCCCCAAACCCACTTCCACCCCTGCAGGAGAAACCTTGAGCTCAACTCTATCTGCAGCTGCTGTCACTTGGAGCCAACATCCAACCAGGGCAGATCGTCACCCAGCAAAATTCTTTTCTGCGTAATAGCCATGGGAGGCCTGCCCAGGAGCCAAAATGTCATTGGCAGAATCTAACACTTGGAGAGTTTTTCTTCAGTGGCTAGAGAGAAAATTAAATACAAGAATGGTCAGCTTATGAGGGGATGATGGGAAATACAGTGGGTCTCATACTGCTGAGACATTGGTGGCCTAGATAGCCAGCATCTCTTACTGACATTGCACCAGAAAAAGAGAAAACCAGGGAAAATTCTGCAATTTGATTCTGCAACCTTTCAGTCTTCCCCCACAATTTGTTGCCAACATTCACTTCTTCTTCATCCTTTGGGACCACACGTAGAGACAACTTAAAGAAATAATTTGGGCATGTCTGGGAATGTTTTAAAATTCTATAGGCCATTAGACATGTATAAAATGGCATTCATATCCACAAGAAAACTAAAGGACATGAACTTTTCTCATCATATTGGAGAAGAAAAGGGCTTATCTAACCAAGTGGAGTTGAATAACTACTGCTGTTGTATGTGTTTTGGCTTGAACTGAATGGAGGCTTTAGAATTTTTTTTTTTTTTTAATCAATGAAGACAGTTTTCCCTTGAGATTCTTATACCATTCACCCTGAGTTCTATCAAGCATGAACAAGTCAGCCAACCTTGCAAATCCAAAGCTCTGTAACACAGAACTCTATTTCATGACACTTCTGATTTCATACCTAGTGTTTGGGAGATATTCCTTAGAAACTTCCAGATCCTAAGAGTCAATGGGAAGAAATTACTAGGTGACACTCAGAATACTCTATGGGCCCAGGTACTCTGTGGGATTTGTATATGAGACAACTTGGATATTTCTTAATCTGGGCCTGGGTTTGAGGAAAGATATTAGTATGAAAGAAGGATAGGCAGAGATAAAATTAGACCCTATGGCACTTTTTCTTTTCAAAAGGAAGATATTTTGACAGCTATTTATTAGAGAAATGTAACTTTTTAAATCATGTCATAATCTTCTGTGTCCCCAGAATCACCTCTGTGATTTGCAATATGGGTGGAAGTGCCAGAGCATAGGTTAAAATCCCATCCACCATACATTTCAGTCAAACAGATGCGTCTTGTCTCTTGAATTCAAAGATTGGGCCATGCCTGATGCTCTTATCTCTGACAAATGGGTCACCAGTAAGTTGAACAAGTAGGCCTCCTGGGACATAATTATGAGAACAACTTTATTTTTATCTCCATTCGTGCCTTTAAATTTGTGCCGTGGGGGTAGGTCTTTTTCTGCTCCTGGGCAAAAACTCAGGCATCTTGTGCCTTTTCTGGTCACTCTCAGGTAATAAAAAGTCCTATGGACATTGCAAGTCACAAACACAGTCTTAATTCAGAATTACAAGTGTCAGTCCAAAATAGGAATCAGTACACTTCATGGAGACTCCTTCCTCTCCCAAGCGAGGACTGGCTGCAGTCTTGGTAAGGAGGGCACGGTCCTCCTCTCCTCTGTTCCTCTCTGATGTTTTTCCTTCTCCCCCAGCTTGCTAACAGAGGTTTCTGCACTCTCTTACCAGGTTTGAAGTGGGGTAGGAGAATAAATAAGTGGAATATGAAAGTTGAAAGATGGTTTTGGGCAAATATCTAAAACTCCCTCTGCTTGATGGCTACCTTCATGAGCACTCTTGATCTAGGCAGTGCCCTTCCTTGGGTTGTCAGCTGCCTTCTCCACTTCAGCTTCTGCCTCTGGTGTACTCTTGATTGTCTCCCCTTATGGGCGATGGTCCTTTTGCTCTGGCAAACTGGTCTCGTGTATAAGACTTATTGCACCCCACCATTCCCACCACTGCTCTCTGAGACTGATGTTCCTTCTGTAGACTCCATATCCAGACTCCCTGGGATTAATTTTTTTTTTTATTTTTATAACCACAGTCTTCTTCATCTTTCTCATTGGCTCCCCAGCTGCAGGGAGCACAATCAGGCACTTCGAGTGGTCCCATTAGGGGCTGAGTTAGCCTGGATGTTAGGTTGGGATTGGGAGAGAGGACCCTTCATTCCTCCCCTTTTGATGGGCTATGACTCAGTGTAGCTGTCTCCAAAGATAAAAAAAATTTTCTCTCTCTCTCTCTCTCTCTCTCTCTCTCTCTCTGTCTGTCTCTCCCCCCACCCTCTCTTTGAGGCAAATTTCACATAGCATAAAATCAACCATTTTAAAGTGAGCAATTCAGGGGCATTGAGTACAACACTCTTAGTCTCTACTCAGCCCTTTTATTGCCTCATTCAGGGTGAGGGTTGCAAAGTTAACATGTTGGCTTATTTGATGTTTCCTGGGTAGGTTCTGCATGTAGTCTGGCTCCTCACTTTCGTGTTTTGCAGCTATTGTATCTGCTGCCTCAGTGGAAACATCTGATTTAACATCTTTGGCTGCCTCAGTGGAAACTAATTTAACATCTTTCATACCTAGATTATATCTTTAGATCTTATAGAAGCCTGTGAGGTGGGCATTACTGTCCCTATCTTATAGGTAAGGAAACAGAAAGGAACAGTGGCTTGCCAGTGTTATGCTGGCAGTGAGTGGCAAGGCTAGGATTTGAGCCCTGTCAGATCTGTCCAGCAGGAACTTTGGGATTGCATCCACTCTGACAGGAAATGGTGGCCAAGCTGGCCACCCTTCCCAGCCTTCTGTGCCTGGGATCCCTAGCCACTTCTATCCTCTGAGTCATCCTAGCAGTCCCTGGCTTCCTCAAGGGCCCAGAGAACCAGGCCTCACGAGCAGTAGTGAAAGGTCATATCAAAACAAAGCAAGAATATTTGTGTCCCATTTCTGCCAAGGAGCAGGCAGGAAGGGCTGCCCAGCCCTCTGGATCTCCAGCCTGGCCTGAGCCTGGGGCCTTACCAGGTGCCAAATGCAGCAGAGAAGTCCTCTGCCATCAGAGTTGGCTGCTGGACTCAGGAGATCAGCCCCGCTCAGGCCCAGGGAGTAGTACAGAGCCCTTGCTGTACGTAAGGGGACTGGGGGCTGAGAGCCTCTCCTCCTGAAGGGAGACTGGAGAGGATAAGGCACAGACCACAAGCAGTTCACCCTTCAGGCCTTGAGGCACCCCACCTGTGCAGCCATGTCACCTGCCTCCTGGTCCCATGCTGCTGGGAGCCTAATGGTAGGCTATGTCTATAGGATGGCAGTCCCTGAAGCAGCATTCATCTGCCTGTAAGTCTAAAGGTGGCTGAAGACAAAGGCCAGAGGCTTGGGTGGACAGCCTGGGTGTCTGGGACTGCCAACTTGGGCACTGTTTTCAAGAAGTGGCCCTTGAGTTTCCAACTAATTTGACTTCTTGCTTTCTTTTTATAGGGAACCCAAAAGGTGCGATGCTCACCCATGGGAACGTGGTGGCTGATTTCTCAGGCTTTCTGAAAGTGACAGAGGTGAATAAAGTAGAATTACTGTTGCAGGTGTCTCTTGAGGACAACCTCAAGCCTCAGAGGATTTTTTTTACTTGTTTGTTTTCTTTTTATTTTTTTCGTGATGTAATCTGGGCTGCCATTCACAGGCAGGAGTTTCTGTTCTTATTAGAGCAACCCCACTTTTACCATCACTTTTCACTCCAAATACTGAAATGATCCATATATGATAAATATTCAGTTGATTTCTGGGAGTACTAAGATCCCAGAAAGAAAAGCATGCAAACCTATTTTTCCTTTCTAACTTCAAAGAACTTAGAAAATTGATACAGTTATGGTTTTGTGTGTACCTTTATTTAGAAAGTAATCCTTAATAACTTGTTTTTCGAAGGTCAGGGTTTAATTCAGTCATTTTGTGTTTAAGGACTACTAGAGTCTGAGAAACAACGGCAACTGCTAATTTATAAGGCTGTACTTAAAGGTAAATCTAAAATTAAAAAAGCTTTGATATCTTGGCCTGACTAAAACATGTTAGCATTTTATAACTGGCTAACAAAGGAGGACTTTTCCCACAAGTGGTGAGTATGTCCTGCAGTTTCCTTCAGCATAAAGGAGTGTATCTTTTCAAAAAAGTTTGGCTTTTTCTCCGCTGTGGAGAAAGTCACTCTCCATGTTCATGGCAGATGACATTATGGAGTGTGTGCCGCAAACACTTAGTAGAAAACTGTGAAAGACAATTTCTTTTAGTAGAAAACTGTGAGAGACAGTTGCTGGCTGAGCCCAGGTCAGGAGCAAGGTTTGCCCAAGCTGGCCCAAAAGCCAGCACAGGAGAGTGAAGGCCTCTGCAAAGGGGTGGAGAGCAGGGAAGTCCAGCAGAGGAGAGTGCCTGGAGGCACAGCCCACCCGGATCCCAAACCTTGTACAGGGCTCTCCTGGCTGGAGTAGCCCCTGTCCCTAGGGTCAGTCCCATCTGTGAGATGTGTCCTGGGCCCTCGCTTTGCTGGTGGGGCACAGCAGGGCTCCCTGTCAGTATTCTCCTTTAAGGCCCTGGCTCCAGGGATGGCTTGTGAGGCCAGGCTCAGCCACTGTTTGGGGTTTGGCCTTGTCTCCTCCTCTGGCTGGGGCTCGTACCCCAGCCACAGTTGCATAGACTTGGGAGTCTCTGGGCCTCTTTCTCTGCAAGGACTAGAAAGTGCTGACTAGCCAAGACCTTCTGAATCCCTGCCCAGGTGGCCCAGGGAGCCTGGAGAAATGGGGTGTGGGGCAGGTCCTGCAGGTGTGGAGAGGAAGGGGAGAGAGCCGGGCTGGCATCGACTGACTGCAAGTGAGGGGCAGGCCCTCTAAGAGGAGACTTCCCTGCAGAGCCCATTCTGCTGGTTTCTGTGTGCTTCATTTGGCTCTTTGCTTCTGCAGATAACCTAGACCCACTGACGCTGCGACCTAATACTCCGCTTCCTATGCTGCCCTGTCTCTCTGTCTCTCTTCTTTCTGCACCTTCCCCCTCCCTCTCTCTTTCCCTCTCTCTCATTTCTTCTCTCTTTCATCTCACCTCTCTCTGTCCTCACCACTCCCATTCCCCTCCCTCTCTTCCTGTTTGCGCTCCAGGACCATTTTCTCTTTATTGTTTTATGATTCTCTTGTCGTCTTCCTGTCAGTGTTTCTTTCCTTTCTGTCTCCCATGCCCGTCGCCTGCAGAAAGTGATCTTTCCGAGACAGGACGATGTGCTCATCTCCTTCCTGCCTCTGGCTCACATGTTTGAGAGAGTAATCCAGGTAAGACGCCCACCTGACTGACGGGGCCTTGCCTGGGCTCCTTCTTTTTTCTTACAGAGTCAGTGGGCTCCCACTTGTGCGGATGTGCACATTTCCTATTTGCCTTTAGCACACATGTTTGAGCGAATGGTGCAGGTAAGGCCCTGGCATCAGGGAGGCACACTCTGTGCCTAGAACCCATAACCCTAGTGGGTGTCACTTGTCACTGGTGGCATGAAGTAGGACCAAAATGCCCTGTCCTCAGAAGGTACCATAGGGGTCAGAGGGCTCAGAGAACCTTAGCCACCCCACCTGTCCCTCCTGGGAGCATTGTTCCAGGGAAGCCCCCAGGCCTGCCCTGTCTTACCCATGGACACACTCAGCTGAGAGACACCCCAGCTGATAGCATCTTCTCAGAGAGCATTGCAGCTTTGCAGAAGTGCTTTACCATTCAAGCTCTGTGCAGTACAGCTCCATTTATGACCAAAACACTTAGGTTCCATAACTTTTACAATTCACAGACTCCTAAAAGAGAAAACAATAGAGTAAAGTTGGGGAATGAAACTGGCATGGCTCCTCAGGCTGCAGATGGGGACTGACCTGAGGCTGGCCCTGAGACAGGCCTTGTGGAAGTACAGAGGGAGCGGGAGGAGGAATCCATATGTAATTGTGGAGACAAGGAATTCTCCATATATGTGTCACTCAAGGGACCAGCGTATGAAAAAACTGTGTCTTCTAGGACTTTCCCATTTTGCCTTGGAAGAGATCTTATATAATAGTGCAGGTAAGGCCCTGTCATCTGGAGAGCATGCTTTCCAGCTTTCCAGACCTGGATTCAATGCCAGCAATTACTGTAAATTAGTTTTGTGACCCTGGGCAAGTCATGTAACCTCTCTGAGCTTTGTGTTCCTCACCTGTAGAAATGCCACTTCCCTTATAGGGTTGTTATGAGCATTAAAGAAAGGGGTATATATAAGGCTCCTGGCATACTCCTAGTCCCATTAGGAACCAGTCAGGGGCTCCCCCTTGGCCTCCCACTAAACAGCACACATAGCCAACTTCAGCAGCATCTCCAGTACTCATGGGACCTACACACATTCACCTTCCCAGAATTCCCTGGAGAAATCCAACGACTCTAAGACCTAGAGCAGACCCATTAGTAGGCTGTAGTTCATCTCAAAGACCTGAGACCCCAGGGAGGCCCATGTCCAGGGTTTGGGAGTAGGTGAGGGGGCACATACCAGTGAGAATGGCTGCTTTGGCATCTCCCAGAGGCTCAGGATTCCTCTCCATCTTCTGCTTCATCTCCCTGTGCCTGAGTGGGACTTAGTTGGAAGGTAGGGGGTGGGGGTCACCTCAGATAGCATTCTTCAGTGTCTCATGGCAGCAGCCACAGCTGGGTCAGGGGGTAATGGGTACCCTCCATGTAGGGCAGCACTTTGGACAGCTTTGGACTATAGCCAGTAGTGACCACCCTAAGGGATTCCTCCCTTCCTGTCCTGTCCTTCCAGTCCGTCGTCTATTGCCACGGAGGGCGCGTTGGCTTCTTCCAGGGAGACATTCGCCTCCTCTCAGATGACATGAAGGCTCTATGCCCCACCATCTTCCCTGTGGTCCCACGACTGCTGAACCGGATGTACGACAAGGTGAGCTCTGCAGGGAGTCTTCAGCCAGGCTGAGGGGCTGCATATTTGCTTGTTTGGACAGGGTCTGGAGCCCCAGGCAGGCTTTCAATGCCTCCACCACCAGGTCCTAGAACTTGCTTCCTCTCTTGTAGTTCCTGACTCTGTCTCATTATTCCTTCTCCTGTTTTCTTCCTATTCTCCAAAAACCCCTGTGGGAGAGATTTTTTTTTTTTCCAGGAACTTCCATCTTCACAACATGCCTGGACCCTGGCAGTGTTAACCTTCAGCTCAATGTCATACATTCAGTGACCTCCTGCAGGGGCAAAATGGAACATGGCTTCTCTTCTGGCCAGTCTGGGCCTTATTCCTGGGGGATATGTCTAGAATTGAGACATTCAGGCCCTGACAGCTGCTTCCAACTTGTGTTCCTCAGATCTTCAGCCAGGCAAACACACCATTAAAGCGCTGGCTCCTGGAGTTTGCAGCAAAGCGTAAGCAGGCCGAGGTGCGGAGTGGAATCATCAGGAATGATAGTATCTGGGATGAACTCTTCTTTAATAAGATTCAGGTAAGAAAATGAACAAGTGATTGTAGAGGGCCACCTAAGTATCTAACGGGTGACCTTACAGGAGAACTGGAGAAGTTCATCCCCCAGTGCCCTATAATTGTGTGAAATAATAACTCATTTGCTCCTGAAATCAAAGCTTAAGCTATAATTGAAATTTTAAACTTAAACATTTTTGATTTTTGGAGATACGTTACATTTGAGATGAGCAAGAAGAAAACCTACTGTGGATAGTAGGTCCCTTGATCTCCACAGGCAACAATGTGGCTTTGCCGTTGGGTAGTCAGGTCAGTGCTCCACTGAGAAGCTCCTGGGCCCTGAAGGTTCTCTTTCCCCTCCCTGTAATCCTGGCCATGGTGGCTTTCCAGCAGCATGGTTCTAGCCAAATGGTTCAAAATCTTCTTTTTCTTTCCTGTGTTCTGTCCCTTTAATATCTCCCACACCAGACCCTCTTGAATTACTCATTTCTGTACCTCCTCAAAAGTTTTCAAGCTCTGTATTATCCAAGGAATCTGTAGTTAATTAGTAGCATTATACATTTTTTATTGCTACTCTATTTTTAGTTATGAAAATTAATATTTAAAATATCTTGGCTCAACTTACATAAACAAAGTGTTTCAAGTATTCTTTGTCCTCAGCAGTATAGTAAATAAAGCATGGTATTGATTTATACGTGAAAAAAGGCAATGCCATTAAAATAGAAATTGGAAGAAATTGTCCTAAGTAATTGTTTTGGATTCTTGCCAATGATGGGAGAGTGAGGGAACAGCTGTGTATTTTAAGGAAGGAAGAAGAACCAATATTATAGAATGCCATCCATACTAATGGTACTTATCCCAAAAGGCATAAAATAATTGGCCATATGGTGGATTGAGTTACAGAGCTGATTGTGTTTATCATTAGGAAAGGGAACGAATTTCCTCAGCTCATGTGTTGTACAACCTCAGGCCTTCTTTCTGATCCCAGCCCTAGCATCCAGGTAGGACCCAATTGTTGGATGTTGACCTTGGATGAAACCCAAATGGGCTGGACACCATCTCAGACATCACAAAATTCGGCAGCTCTTCTCTCTTCCCACAGGCCAGTCTTGGTGGGTGTGTGCGGATGATCGTTACTGGAGCAGCCCCCGCATCACCAACAGTTCTGGGATTTCTCCGGGCAGCTCTAGGGTGCCAGGTATTGTCATTGTGTGTCCTCCCTTGGGAACAGCAGGAAGTACGTTAGGGCAGGAAAACTACTATACCCTCTACTGCTCAGAGAAAGAACCAGGGGGCAAGATTTTTGTGAGACAAAAGCTCCCTCCTCTGAGAAGGAAAAAACTCAGAGCCAGTGAAAGCCAGGACGGCATTGCCACATTCTGGAAAACCAAAGTTTATCCACTCTGGGAAATTCTTTTATCTGGACCTTTGGAAGTTTTTCACAAAGGGCAAAAGGGATTAGACAAACCATAGATAGATCATCAATGTGCTGGAGAATCTGTACCACACCTATGCTGCATCTCTACCTTCTTCAGCCTGCAAAATATCTTGCAACCCAGAAAAGGAGAACAAGGGAGAAAGCCCATTTATGTGTTATTTGATCTGTTATGTTTTGTCATCTCTAAAGATTTATTTTTTCATTTTCCATTCAACTTATATTTATTAAGTTTCTACATATGTAGCATATCATAATGTGGTTGTGGCTGACAGATTTTAAGTAAAGTAGACCCATCTTTTTCATAATTGTGCATGCTTAAATTTTTCTGCTCTAGAAGCCTTAGTCTTTATTCACCGTACTCCTATTCCACATCAGCATGGCCTGACCACTTCTAAAGGCAGACACTTCCACATGGTGTACTCATGCAAACAGGTGGGGCTCTGGAGGGGAATAGCTTATGGAGCCAAAATAAAACACAAAGTAGATTTTAAAATGTTTACCTTTAATTCATTATTATCCAGATGAAAAGTAGATCCAGTGGTTGAAAACAGGTCAGAAATCTTTACCCTAAACTATATAACCTTATCTACTAAGTGTCTGTGATAAAAATAGCACTTCTCACATCTGTAATCCCAGCACTTTGGGAGGCCAAGGTGGGTGGATCACGAGGTCAGGAGATCGAGACTATCCTAGCTAATATGATGAAACCCCATCTCTACTAAAAACAAAAAAAATTACCTGGGCGTGGTGGTGGGCGCCCGTAGTCCCAGCTACTCGGGGGGCTGAGGCAGGAGAATGGCATGAACCCGGGAGGCAGAGCTTGCAGTGAGTCGAGATCGTGCCATTGCACTCCAGCCTGGGCGACAGAGTGAGACTCCATCTCAAAAGAAAAAAAAAAAAAAAAATAGCACTTCTTCCAAGAGAATGTGGCTGTGCTTCTTGTCTGTGTTCAGCTTCACCTGGAGTTATCTATCTCCAGAGCACCTCCCTCCCTCCACCTCCCTGATCATGAAGCAGTCAGATGCTGTCAGTGGGAGGTTAGCTGTCTGAAAGGGGCGGCCAGTCAGCTCTTGGAGGGTGTGTGCCCACAGTGTGGCTTCTGTGTTTTGTTTGAAGGTTTATGAAGGTTATGGCCAAACTGAGTGCACAGCTGGATGTACCTTCACCACACCTGGCGACTGGACCTCAGGTAGGACAGGCTAGAGATGTGAGACTGGCTTGCAAGGCACTGCGGAGTAAAAGCAGCCAGCTCCAAAACTCCCTCATGGAAAGTAAATTTGCACGGGTACTTAGGAAAAAAGCAAAAGAGAGAGAAGAAAAACATTAATGGTGGTTATGTCTGGGCTGTGGCATTGTGAATCTGTAACCACTGTTGAGGTTTTTCCCTTTTTAATTCATCCTTAGCATACTGGAAGAATCTGGTGTAAATTTGGTGAGTAATCCATGGGCTACCCACTACAGCCATGCTTCCACTTGGCCCTGAAGGATGAATCTCCTTAGAATGAGGGTGTGGATGAGAGCTGTTCCTTTTTGAGGTTGCCGCTACCTTTGAGACATTGATATCACAGGAGAACGTAGTTTTCAAAGGGTCTCTAAAATAGCCCTTTAAGAAACAGTACCCTGGCCAATATGAACCTGCTTCTCCTTTACACATCATGTCCAATTCATAGCCTGCTTCCTTCTTTCTAAAATACTGTAAGCAAGGCCATGTAGTATCTAGAATCTATAAAAATCCAATATACTGATATTATAAACATTTTTCCATCCAGAGTTGTATCTTGTGATCTATTACTTCTTTTGTGCATAATTTCTCTTTATCTATAAAAGAAATAGGAAAATACTAAAACCTGTGACAAAAAAGAAAAAAAAAAAAAAAAAAGATCTCCAAAGGTGGTTCCTGTGGGATCTGCCAGCAGCAAAGTGATTAAATAATTTATTTACAAAATAGGCTTTATTCAACCACAATTTTAAAAGACAGGACTAAGGAAAAAATGCTTCTATACTTACCTTGGCCAAATATGATTTCAGTTTAAAATCCACCTATCCGGTTTCTGCTGACTATCTCAAGGTATTCTGAAAATAATATTGCATTAAACAGCATATTTCTTTCACATGCACATCATCCTAAAATTTTCCAGTTTGTAGTTGAGCAAACTTAAGTACAAAGAGTGGCCCCAGGCTTGAAGAGGAAGTCAGTATCCTGAAGGATTCTTTTGCTGAGTGGTTTTCAGCAAAAGGGGAAGCAGGTCTGTAGTAGGCAGCCCATGGATTACCCACCAGATTTAGAGCAGATTCTTCCAGTATCTACCCTCATGTATCCCTTCCTTTTGGACATGTATCTCTTCCCTCTCAAGTCATCCTTTACATTTCCCTATGTAAACACTGCCGAGGTTTTTCCATTTTTCACTTGACTCTTACCATAAGACTTGAAAAGGCTTTTGTGTATGAGGATAGATATATTTGAATAGTATTGTCAAAGATTTGACAGCCTGTCTTTCAAAAGAGAAACCAAGGTGGTAAGTCTCATTTTTCATATAGGTGGCTCAATTTTCTTTCAGGACCTTGGCTAGCATCCGCTTAAAACCTCTCCAACTTGCCTGTGAATTATCTAACAACCACAATCACTAGAAAAATGACTTAGATGTAATTTTGTGGTAAATTTGACCAAGAGAATTTGGAGTCTTATTTTCATGGGGCAAGTTTCTTCATCCCAGCTTTCCATTTGTTTGTTATTCAACATGTGGTGTGGGACCAGCAGCAACATCACCTTGGTGCCTGTAAGAAATGTCGAATCTCAGGTCCCGTTCCAAACCCACTGAATCAGAATCCACAGCTTACAATTTCTAGATTTCCAGCACATTAATCAACAGTCTGGTGGCTAGAGGAAAAGCAGTGATTGCTGTATTTTATGATCCCCAAACCAAGACGTGTGATCTGACAATGGGGAAAATGATTTAATGTGGGCACTGTTGTCAAAAATCTTGACCCTGTGGTTGGTGCCCCCCCCCACCCCACCCAGGACCCTGTGCATGTTGGTGCTGAGCCAGGTGTGCCTGTCCTGCTCATTAAAGAATCAGATGTAAAACAAATGCCCAGGCAGAGGTTGGCCTTTGCTTTCTCCAGAACTTTGTTTTATTACCAACACTTGCCAGTAACAAATGCCCCTTTAAAGGTGTGTTACTTTCCATCCATAATTCCCCACTTTGGCCACTCAGAGATTTTAAGGGGCTGGGAACATCTTCAGTGCTAAAACTGATCTGAACACTAACAAATGCCATCTCGCTCCGGTGTTCCAGGGCACGTAGGGGCACCGCTTCCCTGCAATCATATCAAGCTCGTTGATGTTGAGGAACTGAACTACTGGGCCTGCAAAGGAGAGGGAGAGGTAAACAAGGATTTAGCCATTCATGCCTGTGGCTGCTACGTGTAGTGAGTAAAAACAAACAAGAACAGTAGGGATGGAATGATTTTCCTTTTGCCTTGTGTATAAAGTCATTTTAAACTACTGATTAATTTGACTCAGCTCAACTCAGCATCTCCTCTCCTGTTTATGAGGCAACCAAGAGCCAGTGCTGGGACTGAGCTTGTCTAAAGCAAGATTTGGAATTCCCAGACTTTTAAATTAATTATTATTTTTATTTATTTTTTTTTGAGATGGAGTCTCGCTCTGTCGTCCGGGCTGGAGTGCAGTGGCGCAATCTCGGCTCACTGCAACCTCTGCCTCCTGGGTTCACGCCATTCTCCTGCCTCAGCCTCCTGAGTAGGTGGGACTACAGGCACCACCACCATGCCTGGCTACTTTTTTTCATATTTTTAGTAGAGACGGGGTTTCACCGTGTTAGCCAGGATGGTCTCAATCTCCTGACCTCGTGATCCACCCACCTTGGCCTCCCAAAGTGCTGGGATTATAGGCGTGAGCCACCGTGTCTGGTCCTTAATTAATTAATTTTTTAGTAGAGACAAGGCCTTGCTCTGTCACCCAGGCTGGAGTGCAGTGGCGTGGACATAGTCCACTGAATTCGAGACCATAGCCTCAAACTCCTGGGCTCAAGCAGCTCTCCTGCTTCAGTCTCTCAAGTAGCTAGGACCACAGGCATGTGTCACCATGCCAAGGTAACTTTTTAATTTTTTTGTAGAGACTGGGTCTTGCTGTGTTGCCCAGGCTGGTCTTAAACTCCTGGCCTCAAGCAATCCTTCCTGCCTCGGCTTCCCAAAGCACTGAGATTACAGGTGCTAGCCATCATGCCTAGCCCCAAACTTTTGTAAAAATTCATTTTTTCCCCTAACTGTGTCATGGCCTACTGCTGTGTGATTTGTCCCAGCAGAAATATGACCCTTTACAAATAGGCCAGATGGAGTAGATAGAGCTGGCCTGTACTTGTTCATTCCATGGGAGTGAGTGGGAATGACTGCCTGCTAATGGAGCAGGGGGCTGAAGCATCCCTGGTAGAATCAGCCAGCCATCAATATCTGTGATGAGTCCCCATCAAGTGTCACAGAGCAGCCTGTGGCCAAGGCCAGAGGGCTCCTGAGGGAGAAGAGATGACAAAGGCCTAGGGTGGCCAGGGCAGCGGGGAAAGATGGGGAGGATATTGCTTGACAGAAGGCAGGAGATAGTTCAGACAGCTGCAGGCTGTTCCTCGTCCTCTGTTTCCATCCCTGCCATATCCACAGTGGCTTTCCTGATGGGTAGTGTACCTTATCTCCGTATGCCTGGAGACAGCCTCCCATCTCCTCATTCCTCATGCTGTGGCTGAGAGAAGCCATGGTTTTTGTCCCATAGATATGTGTGAGAGGACCAAATGTGTTCAAAGGCTACTTGAAAGATCCAGACAGGACGAAGGAGGCCCTGGACAGCGATGGCTGGCTTCACACTGGAGACATCGGAAAATGGCTGCCGGTGTGTACGTTTGGAACCATGGAGCTCCAAACATTTTGGCAGTGGGAGGGTGTGTGGTCCAGGTCACTGAGACAGGAGTCTTCTCCAAATCCCTCCTGAAAATGAGTCATTCAGGAGCACCTCTGGGACCTGCGAGGAGGCTCTTCCTTCCCTGAGCCCCAGAGCTTCTTTCTCTTCTCACTCCGTCTCATGAAGGTGATGAGGGACCTGTGCAGGTAGGTGTGACTGAGGTCTTGGAGACTGAATTCCTATCCTTAATGGTTTCCAGAAAGACTTCTGACAGTGTGTGGAATCTGACGTGAAGTAGGAGGAACAGGGGGTACATGTCTCTGGGACGTCTGAGAAGGGCAAGGCCTGCAAGCCCACCAATGCTGGTCCCCAGCCAAAAGGTGGCACTGAGTAAAGGGGAAAGCTTGGAGACAGGTGGGAGGATGCTTTAGTTCCTGTGGCTTTGCCAGCAGTTGCTCATGTAACCTTGAGCAGAGCTTCATCCCCGTCTGTGGCTTCACCTTGACTCACTTATAGAACAGGAGAACAAGCCTTCGTGGCATTCCTTGGCCATGGCCCCCAGCTTTTAGCCAAAACCACTTTGCGTAATTCTCTCTCTTTTTTTTTTTTTTTTTTTTTTTTGAGATGGAGTCTCACTCTGTCACCCAGGCTGGAGTGCAGTGGCGCAATCTCGGCTTACTGCAAGCTCTGCCTGCCAGGTTTATGCCATTCTCCTGCCTCAGCCTTCCGAGTAGCTGGGACTACAGGCGCCGCCACCACACCCGGCTAGTTTTTTTTTTTTTTTTTTTTTTTTTTTTTTTTAGTAGAGATTGGGTTTCACCGTGTTAGCCAGGATGGTCTCGATCTCCTGACCTCGTGATCTGCCCATCTCGGCCTCCCAAAGTGCTGGGATTACAGGCGTGAGCCACCGCGCCCGGCCAATTCTCTCATTTTTAAAATAGGTATCATAACGTTGCTTACCTCTGAAGTTATTGTGTTGTGCAAGATCTGGACTTTATCCTTTATTATTTATTTACGAAATGGAGTCTCATTCTGTCACCCAGACTGGAGTGCAGTGACGAGATCTTGGCTCACTGCAATCTCCACCACCCAGGTTCAAGCGATTCTCCTGCCTCAGCCTTCCCAGTAGCTGGGACTACAGGTGCCTGCCATCACATCTGGCTAACTTTTTGTATTTTTGGTAGAGATAGGGTTTCAACATGTTGGCCAGGCTGATCTCAAACCCCTGACCTCAAGTTATCTGCCCATCTCAGCCTCCCAAAGTGCTGGGATTACAGGCATGAGTCACTGCACCTAGCCTGGATTTTATCCTTTAAAAATGTTTTAATAAAAGAAAGAAAAATAAAGTTATTTTTGTGAGGAACAAATGAGATTATGCCTGCAAAGCACTTAGCACAATGCCGGGCACATAGGAGATGCTTAGATTAATTCTTTGACCAGAAAATGGCTGTCACTGACACTGAGAACTCTTGCCTGGTGCAGCCCACCCCAGGAACCTCTCCTGTGTCTTTGGGAAGTGCTAAGGTTTGGGTGGACATTTTGAGGTGTTGAGTTAATCAGGCACATGAATGATGTTGAGCCCATGGGGGGCCGAGTGCGCTGGTGAATGGATCTGCCCCTGCTTGGGCCTGTGTACTTCCCTTTGAGAAACCCTCATGCCTGCCCCAGACAAAGATGTATCTCCAGTGAGTGCCCTGGCCCAGGGAAACTGCTTAGGGAAGATATGCATGATTAGACAGTTCCCAACCCGATGTGATGGGCATGAGCTGGGGGCACACTGGGTGCACACTCACCTCGGGAGAGGCAGAGGAGGACAGGCGCCTACTGCATCCAAGTCTTAGGATATGAGTCATGTTCCAAGAAGAGGGAGTGGGAAGGACAATCAGGGCGTGATAGTAATATATGCTGAGTAGAGGCACTAGACATGTGAAGCAACTAATTCCAACTGAAGACCCATAGGTGTGGGAGAGAGAGGCTAGTGAGGTCAGCAGGCCCTAAACACCTGCAGAAGGTGGACTGTCCTGTCGGCTCAGGGAGCTTAGGCTTGAAGCCCCCTCACTTGCATTAGCCCCTTCCAAGGCCCTGCACTTCATTTTACCTGGTTTTTCTTAAAGAGGGCCCTCAATATTGTAAAAGCTTGAAGTCTCAGAAATCCCTGGATCTGCTGCTGATGCCCTGTAACTTGAATGAAACCATCCACCATTTAGAGGGTAATATGAAGCAAATAAATGGATTCATGTAAAGCACTTAGTGTTGTGCTTGAGCACAGAGCCTAAAGTTGCAGGCAGGTAGTCTGTGAGAGCCCATTATTTAGATTATTATTTTTAAATGATTTTTGAAATTTAATTAAAACTTATTGCAGGTATTGAGATACTTATTTTTCTATATTTCTCATGTAAAGCAAATCATGCACTCTTGACATAATTCAACTTAACCATGATGTGACTTTTAAAATAATATTTTTCTTAAAAATTGTGTTTGATCTTTCCATTTATATTCACAAATGAGATTGATCTGTAATTTACCTTTTATATACATCCCTATTATGGTTTTGTTGTCAGTTTATTGAATGAGTTGGTAAGTGGGTTTTTTCCCTGTTTTTTAGAAGAATATGTTCAAGCTTTGAATGATTCATTCTTGAAATTTAGGTAGAGATCATCTATAAAGACATTTGTGCTTTAAAAAATATTATTTTGAAATCATGTTAAATAGATCAAGGAATAAGTAAGCATAGTCTTCTGGTCCAGAAGGATCAGGATTCAAATCCTGGTTCCCCTAGCTCCTAGCTGTGTGGCTTTGGAGGATTTAACTAACCTTTCTGATCCTTATTTTCCTCATCTGTGAAACAGAGGGGACAACACTCAGCTAATGGACCATGAGGACCAAATAAGCTGAGGTAGGGAAAGCACCTGATGTCCAGCCTGGGTTTTGAGCAAAACAGAGTCTGCTCATTTTTTTCCTTTTGGAGAGATTGCTCTGGCACTGGCAGATCAAGCAGATGGAGTGGAGACAGAGTGTGTGCCGAAGTCCAGTCAGGAAGTGGTTTTGCTGGGAGGAGGTGGATATAAGATGAATTTGTGAGCAAGGACAGGTGAGCCTGACTGCTGGAGATCCCAGGAGAGGCAAACAACAAGGTCATCTCCAGGTTTGGGGTTTGGAGGCTGGGGCAGGCTTGAGAAGCTTGGTCATGAGTTTCATATAGGAGCATGTTACATCCTCTGAGACAAACAGCCTAGTTTTTGAAGCATTCCAAGGGTATTTGGGTTCTGGATCTGGAGCTCAGTGAAGAGCTGGAAGCTTGGACTGACTTGGGAGTGACCAATGAAGAGAAAATGGTGTTTACTCCAAGGTGCATTGTCAGTAGAGGTGAGGGGCAAGAGGCCCACCTAATCACCTTGGAAGCTCAAAAAGGTGGAGGAGAGTCAGGGAGGTGAGAACAGGTCCTGGAAGCCAGTGGTACTAGCACTCCCTGTCCAAGGAGGTGACCTGCCTGCTGCAGAAGTTCTGCAGGGGCCTGTGCACCTAGTGCCATCTGGCATGTCAGGTAGGAGTCACAGGGGCTCTGTCAGGTCTGTGCTATATGCCAGGGGATGCAGAGGCTGCTCTTTAGGGGTGGAGACAGTAGCTGGGCAAGAGACCTGAGTTTGGTCTAAGGGAGTGAACCAAAGATGCTGGTGAGAAAAAGGGCAGCTGGAGCAAGGGTGTGTGCAAGAAGGGTGCCCCGATGGAAGGGCGGTGGGCCTCCAAGAAGGAGGAGGTGAGGATACCTGCTGCTAGGCATGAGGATGGCAGTGGTGGGAGGACTGTGTGGGTGGCTAACTGCTGAGAGGAAAGGACAGTGGATGCTCATGGCCCAGCAAAACTTGGATGCCATCAACCTGTGGTGCACAGTGGTTCTCTCCAGGAGCCTTGCAGCTCCCTAAGAGCAGACACAACAGATGGAAAAGAAATTGGGGCGCGGTCTGCAGGGTGGGGTAGGGCAGGGGGTTACGGCACTGAGGAGCGAAGGCTTCAGGCTTGAGAGTGCCATGTTCTTATAAAGCTGTTTGTCCAACTCTACAGGCAGGAACTCTTAAAGTTATTGATCGGAAGAAGCACATATTTAAACTTGCTCAGGGAGAATATGTTGCACCAGAGAAGATTGAGAACATCTACATCCGGAGCCAACCTGTGGCGCAAATCTATGTCCATGGGGACAGCTTAAAGGTGAGGCCTCTGGGCTTCAGCCCTCCCACATATCCTGGGCATGCTGAAAAACCCAGATTAAACATTAATCTCCAGTCAGACACCAGGATTCTCCTCTGCATTTTAAAACATGAGAGAAAGCTCCTTTTTAAAGGAGAAATCTTACTTATAGTTTGCTAAAATGTAATTAGGTCAAGTAAGTTGTCTGAAGTACTAATGAACATTCCCATTCCTTTTCACTTATGCTCAACCTACTTCCAAAGATTTTTGAGATAAAATACTAGAGCAAGATTCAGGGTTTCTGCTGTTTTTATTTTTTATTTTAAAAATTATTACTATTATTATTATTGAGACAGGGTCTCGCTCTTTCACCCAGGCTGGAGTGCAGTGGCATAATCATGGCTCACTGCAGCCTCAACCTCCCTCCTGGGCTCTAGCTATCTTCCCACCTTATCCCTTTCCCCCTCCCTCCCCATCCCCAATAGCTGGGACTACAGGTACACACCACTATGCCCAGCTATTTTTTTTTTTTTTTACATTTTCAGTAGAGACGAGGTCTCACTATGTTGTCCAGGCTAGTCTCGAACTCCTGAGCTCGAGTGATTCTCCTCCTGCCTCAACCTTCCAGAGTGCTAGGATTAGAGGCATGAACCATCACACTTGGCCTGTTTTGATTTTTTTAAATATGCAAATGAACTTTACAAATTAATGAGTACTGCAAAAAAATGTACTAATGGTACTAGTACTAATATAGGTTACTAGAATTCAGTTATTTGGAGGAGTTTTATACTTATTTTCCTTTCAATAGTATTTAGATTTAAAGTCAGAAAGATCATGAATAGACCGGGTGCAGTGGCTCAAGCCTGTAATTCCAGCACTTTGAGAGGCTGAGATGGGCGGATCACGAGGTCAGGAGATCGAGACCATCCTGGTTAACACGGTGAAACCCCGTCTCTACTAAAAAAATACAAAAAACTAGCCAGGTGTGGTGGCGGGCCCTGTAGTCCCAGCTACTCGGGAGGCTGAGGCAGGAGAATGGCGTAAACCCAGGAGGCGGAGCTTGCAGTGAGCTGAGATCTGGCCACTGCACTCCAGCGTGGGTGACAGAGTGAGACTCTGTCTCAAAAAAAAAAAAAAAAAAAAAATCATGAATATATTCTATGATATCTAAGATATCAGATATATTCACTCCATTACCCAGGCTGGAGTGCAGTGGTACAATCTCGGCTCACTGCAGCCTCTACACCCAGGGTTCAAGTGATTCCCTTGCCTCAGACTCCCGAGTAGCTGGGACTACAGGTGCCCACTATCATGCCTGGCTATTTTTTTTTTTTTTTTTTTTTTTTGTATTTTTAGTAGAGACATGGTTTCACCATGTTGGCCAGGCTGGTCTTGAACTCCTGACCTCAAGTGATCTGCCTGCCTCAGCTTCCCAAAGTGCTAGGATTACAGGTGTGAGCCACCATGCCCCACCTGATATCAAATATATTCTATACTATCATTGCATTATAAATATTATGAAATTATTTTCGAAGAAATGCTTTAAAAATTAAAATAGGCCTGGCATGGTGGTTCACGCCTGTAATCCCAGCACTTTGGGAGACTGAGGCAGGAGGATTGCTTGAGCCCAGAAGTTGAAGACCAGTCTGGGTAACATGATGAAACCCTATCTCTACAAAAAATACAAAAATTAGCGTGCACCTGTAGTCCCAGATACTCGGGAGGTTGAGATGGGAGGATCACTTGAGCTCAGGAGGTCGAGGCTGCAGTGAGCCATGATCATACCACTGAACTCCTGCCTAGGCAACAGAGCGAAACCTTGTCTCAAAAGAAAAAATAAGCAAAATGAAGAAGTCTTTCATGAATGAAAATCGTACTAATGAAACCATTTCAATGTGGTTTGGTAATGATGAAAAACATTTGGTTTTTGGTTCATAGAATTTGGATCAGAGAGTTGTTTGATCAGCCTCCTAAAGATGTGCTGATCTGAGATTTGCATGAGAATCAAAGGTACATATCAGTCTAACTTTACTGATTCTTAATGTCCTTAAACTTATTTTTTATATAAAACTAGGGGAATATATCAGAAAATGAGTAGTGTGATATATTGGCAGAAATATTTTATGACATGAACAAATGTTTTATAAGCATATACTTAGTTTTTGAAAAAGGTGGAGTCTGAGAATTTTAATGCTGGACCACAAATAACCACTTTAAATATGTTTGTCATGCCCGTGTTCTCCTTTGGTGAGCACTACAGGCCTTTTTGGTAGGCATTGTTGTGCCTGACCCTGAAGTTATGCCCTCCTGGGCCCAGAAGAGAGGAATTGAAGGAACATATGCAGATCTCTGCACAAGTAAGGTTGGTATCTTGGGGCTGTCTCCTGAAAGGTTACTGAATGTTTTATGATACCACATAATGAGAAGACAGAAAAGCTGTAGACCAGTGAAATTCAAGCTCATACAGAATTTCTAACATTACTTTATACATAGTGGGGAGTCTAAACCAGAGATTTGTCTTTTTTGTTACTGAAGAAGCTCATATTTCTTCTTAGAAAGATTGACAAACGTTTGGATTTTAAGCCAGGAGACATCACAGAAAGCTCATCCAGCCCTGTTGCTTTGTGGTGTAGAGGAGAGTCCAGGGAGGGTGGTAACTTGCCCAAGGTCACACAGCTGGTTAGCAGCAGAGTCAGATGTGAACATAGGCTTTCTGACTCACCTACCATGCTCCTTCAGATGGAAGGTGGATTTTGTGTCTACTGGGTGTAAACAGCTAGTCATGGAATAGAAAAAGTAGCACAATTCTTCCTGCTTAGAGTATTAGCTATTCACACCTTCCTGAAACCTTCTAATGGCACATGTAGAACTCTGTGGAGGAGGTCACTGTGCTCTGACTCAGTGTAGCCCCTTGAGTCACATGGTCCATTTCTTAGCAGTAACCATAGACCCTCCCTCTCCTACTGGTCCCTGGGCCTTAGGCTCAACTGGGGGTAGCAAGATTCACCAGGCTGACCAAAAGGCTGCTTTAAAAAAAATTGATCCCAGCACTTTGGGAGGCCGAGACGGGCGGATCACGAGGTCAGGAGATCAAGACCATCCTGGCTAACACGGTGAAACCCCGTCTCTACTAAAAAAATACAAAAAAACTAGCCGGGCGAGGTGGCGGGCACCTGTAGTCCCAGCTACTTGGGAGGCTGAGGCAGGAGAATGGCGTAAACCCGGGAGGCGGAGCTTGCAGTGAATGGCGTAACCCGGGAGGCGGAGCTTGCAGTGAGCTGAGATCCGGCCACTGTACCTTCAGTGCCTATAGGCGACAGAGATGCAGACTCCGTCTCAAAAAAAAAAAAAAAAAAAAAAATTGAGTGGTCCATTAGCCCATTCATGGTCACTCCTTTGACCATTTCAGGTACTTACTTGTCTGATGAGAGGTGGTAATTGGAGTGCTGCCAGGGAGTATCAGCCTCAGTTGTGGGCTGTGGGTTAGCATATGTTGGCACAATCACCAGTTGCACTTTACTCAAAACTGTTGTTTCCTCTACCTCCATTTTGAAATGTGTTCTTGTCTTGTAATTTTTCTCATATGGTTTGATTCAGGATCTGAAGAAAGCCATTTTAGAAGATATGGTGAGGTTAGGAAAAGAAAGTGGACTCCATTCTTTTGAGCAGGTAACTGTTACCCTCCCCATACTTGTTACAGCCCTTTAGGCAGTGATGAAAATTAAATTAACCCATGGTGACCCTGACCTAGATTCCTGACTTTTCATGGTGTGGCCCGCCAGCAGGCTGTGCACCAATGGACCCCTGAAGGCCTGTTCCAAGCTGCCTCCTGAACCAAAATAGGTCACATGTCAAAAGAGATTGTACTCATCTTTATAATTACAAACTTTCTTAAGGCTAAGATAATACCCTAGCTATCACTAGTAAATCATGTGTATATTATCTGTCTTACAAACTTCCTGCATTAACGAAGACGACAGTCCTATCTTATTTTTATTTTTATTTTTATTTTTATGGGGACTGTTTTCTTGGCTTCAGCAGACAAGGTTACCTGTTAGGAGGACATTGGAAAGATTGGTCTCCTCGGGCCAGTGATCTGTCAGCCCAGCATGCCCTCTGTAAAGAGGAGGAAACAGAGTGCTTTGGGAGAGGACACAGCAGTCCTCCAAGACTTTTTTTTTTTTTCTGCAAGGTTGGGTTCTTATTGTAACTGAGCTCATAAGCATACTTAGTCTGACTTACATATACCATTTATACATCTTCTTTTGTCAAAAATTCAAAGAGAAAAATGCTTCAAATGGAAAAATATTAATATACTGATTTTTAAAATTTCCTTAAATTTAAAATAATTGTTTTTGATACAAGTTTGTATCCCCAAATTTAATGACAGGGGTCTTCAAGTTTGACAAGAATCTTTAAATTTTGTATGTTCACTTAATAACCTAAAAACATTTAAAACCAGTTTAAAATATAAAACTCTTATAGTGCTTTAATTTTCAATTTAAAAAAATTTTCATGGATTAAAATTTTAATTTTTTAGTTTCAAACTAAGGAAATCTAAGCATAGTTTCAGGGTCTAAAAATACTGCTTTTCTTTTAAAATAGATCTTTACATTAATCCATTTTGAGAAACACTGCTTTACCCTCATCTGTCAGTATGTTTTAGGGCAATTTAGGCCTGGGTAAATAAATATTTTTTAAAAGTATGGAATCTGAGGCCTTCAGGCAAGTTATATTTATCTTTCTAAAAGATAAAGGTCAATTTTGGCATACTAATTATTTAAATTTCCAAATATGCTAGAACTGACTTCATTGCCCTTCCTCAGTGGTGAGTTATGTGATGGGATCCTCTGTGATCCTGTAGACCAGGGACCACAAATGAGTGGTCGTAAGCCTGGTTGGTCTGGGCCTGTGTGGATTTGAAGGGCTGGCTGCAGCCTAAGCTGCAGTTCCCGCCGACATCCTGGTGCGTTCACAAGGCCTGCACGCCCCCTGCTGGTATTTGGATGCGGGACCTGCCCCAGGGCACACAGAGTATATGACACCCAGATTCCTCTTCATGGAAAAAAATACCAACTCTTAAGATTATGCTTAAAAGGGACCTTTGGTTAAGTTTCCAGTGTTAACCATTGCTCTAGTTAGAGCTTTCACTGAGAGGAGACATGTTCTTGACTTTCCACATGCCTTTCGCAGAGTTTCTGCTCTAATAATCTGCCCTCACCATGGTAACCTCAAATACAGGGAAGTCATGTGGGATCTCAGAGGCCTTTAGTTTTATTGCCAAGGCTGTCGCCTTTTGATTTTCTCTGTTCTCATTCTCCTCTTTGTTGGTCTATGGCATTCTCCCCACCGCAGCCAGTGTGTGCCCTCAGCTGACCACAGGAAAGCAAAAACCAGGCCTCATGCCTGAGGAGGGTGTGCTCTCAGTTGTGATCCAAAGCCTAACATAAATTATTTCAGTTAATCCATAATCCATTGTCAGCTTGTCCTTTTCCCTCTTCCTCAAAAATGAATGGCCAATTAAGGCATAATTCTAATTAAACACACACATACACACACACACACACACACACAAATAACAAATTCAAGTTCAATATCCAAAGTTTAAGTCATTTAACAAAAGCTTTAGGAGTTCAGACTTACTGGACTCGGTTGATCTGAATTAAACTTTGAATTAGAAAAACAATTGAAGTAATTTAATTTCCAAGAACAGACAATTACTAGAACTAGGCCAACCATTATTAATTTATGGAGATCTTTGGAAGATACGTTTTCATGAGTAGACAGGTGGCTGGGAAGTATTTGAGCATACTTAACCATGATTAACCATTTGTTTGACATTGATATGCCTTATTAATTTGCATAGGCAATATAATGTGAACTTTGACACTTGATAGATTTTTAAATTTCTGACTAATTAAGCACTTACTAAAAATATTTTCTTGTATTTCCTGTCATTGAAACGAACACTTACCTAACCAATTTGCCTTTAAATAAAAAATGAACATTTCCCTAACTCATGTAATTTTTTTTACTTTATCTCTCCTGTCCTAAATTATTCATTCTGTATTTATTATCTATAAGCAGTATTGTGTTAAAGGATTTCATTAAGACCACTGAAAAACTTAAAACACTATGTCTCTCTAAAATTATGAAAAGTTTGTGCTTTTATGAGTTGGCATAAATGGACAATTTTGAGGAATTTTATTCCAATGCCATATTTAAATGTTACAGTATTTTCTGAATTATTTTTAAAAATCCTGTAACATCTCTTTTCAGTGAAAAGAGTATGGTTTCAGGAAGGCAAGCTAACATTAGCCATCTCCTTTTTTCTTTTCCCAACAAAAACTTTGCTAATTGAAAAATGGAAATTCCAGTTTCATGAAGTATTTGGCATAAAGAGAGAATAAGGACTCTCACACCTGTTTTTTACAAGTTCACAATTGGACAGTTTGGCTTTATGAGAAAATAATAATTATAAAAAATGAACATGTGCTTTATCATTGATTCACTTCTGAAAGAAACTATAGGTTTGTGGCCCACAGTTAAAGTCACTGTCAGTTAAACAACTGGCTGACTCATTTTTTTTTCCACTTACTGCCTATAGTTTTTAGTCACTCAAGCAGGTCGTATAGGTATTTTCATAGAAGAATTTAAATAGTCCAAGGGCCGTAGGTCAGATCAGACCAGGGACTGGCAGCCTAGCAGCAGTGCCGCTCTGACCTGCTCCCTAAGGGACTGAAAGGTGATCCCAGAGCAGGCTGCCATATTGCTTGATCTTCTGCAAGGCTGTATTTAATGATATAGCCTCTTCTCAGGCAGAACTAGTTTGCAGACAGCCACATGGAGCTGCAGATGTCCCACTCAGCCATTTAGGTTTGAGGAGGTAGCTGGCTCAGCAGATATTCCAAAGCTACCTGTTGATGCAGTTCTTTCTTCCAAAGATCATAATGTTTTCTTTTACATTCCTACTTAACCATATAAATGATATTATATACCTCTCCTTATGAAATCTATATTTCCAGTACTGTATTTTTTTAGTAGTTTCTGCTTGTCACTGCTGGCTTTTCAAAGATATTCACCCCAAGTTCCCATACTGAACATAGACTCTTGTCCCAATTACACAATGTTCTCTACATGCTGTTAGGAATGCAGACAAGCCAAAACCCAGGCTACAACACTGATAAATTATATCTTGGCATTTGTATCTCCTTTTTAAAAGCATAGTATTAATTTTAATAACAAAAGAAGTTGGATAGATGGTTTGCACTTACCAGAAGTCTTTATGTGATAGTGCTTCTGCAGAAAGAGAAATTTTTTTTTGAAAAGTTAAGGATATTAGCACTGTCAATTTTTCAGTTTTTCATTTTGACAGTAAAGGTTAGTTACTACTACATTAAATCCCTGTAACTAAGATTAAATTTGATTTCGATTGTGTTAATGTTTTCTTTAGACGAATTAATTTTGTCATCAAATGGTGATTTCTAAACTTACTTAAGTAGAACTTAGCTGACATCTTATGTAAAAATTGAGCATGCACAAAACATAAGAGCAGTACTACTCAGGTTGGTTTAGGGCTTGAGCCAGAGCTTCTACACACACACTCTTACTCCTAAGCACCTCACCTCATCCTCCCACCCTTCTCCATCTCCTTTCTACCCTTACCTATCTAAACCCCACTTCTACACCATCCCTGGCAGTGGCCTCTGCAGATCACCCAGTTCTCAGTGCACATGGTTTAAAAACGTCTCCCTTGGGATCTGTTTGCAATAAATATTGGGTCTCCTAGGATGGTTTATGTTTGGTAACAACAAATTAGGAAAAATGTATATTCTATAGGATACAAAGAACAGCAGCCCTATTCCTTACTGAATCTGTGCTTCTTTGAATGCCAAGCACACTGAGAGAGTTTTCAGACAAAACCCTTTTTACAATAACCATATCTGATTTTGAAACTCTTTTTTTTCTTTTTCTGATTTTGAAACTCTTGATGATACATATCTCTAGCCAAGATTTCCAGCTATTTAAGGTGATATCTATCTTTAGCCATAGATGATACCATAAAGATGATGCCCATCTTTAGGCAAGATTTCCAGCTATTTAAATTGGATGTCCAAGTAGAAATCCCCTCAAAAACAATCTTCCCATTTCTCTTGGAGAGATCTCTCCAAAATGTGTATTCAGTCATACCATTGCCCTAACTAAAAATCTTCAGTATCTTACTATTGTATTTGGAATAAAATTTGAGCTCCTCCATAAACTGGCTCATCTACCACTTTAGCTTCATCCCTCACACTCTTTGCCTCTTATGTAACAAGAAACCACTTAGAGTTCCTTTTTCACACTCTGCCATTTCTCACTCCCATGGCTTTGTTTTGGGGTTGCCTCTGCCTATAATGCCCTTCTCCACCCACTTTTTCCCCTCTGCTGGTTAACTATAACCCATTATTTAACATCCATCTGATTTGGGAAGTCTTCCCTGACTGCCTCTCCCTCTCCCCTCCTATGCCTGAGATGGGTGCCCTTTATCCCATGCATACCATACTGATAATTGCCCAGTGTTTCTTTGTCTCCACTACTGGACGTGAATGTGCACTCCCTAAGGGCAGAGGCATTCATGATTCCTCTTTGTATCCTCAGTACCTGGCATAGAGTAAGCAACTAATTCATTTCTGTTGACTGGCTAAATTAATGAATAGGAAGGAAAAAAGTTGGCTTTTAGATACGTAAAATGGGCTGAAGTGTTCTCAACATAATTTTGACTTAGCATAAGGTCTGTATGTCAATATATCTATTCTCATATGCCTGTTTGCTTTTTACCATGTATACTATGAATACTGTGTTCTAGTCCTGTTAAAGATGTATTCTGCATTTGGTTTTTAGGTTAAAGCCATTCATATCCATTCTGACATGTTCTCAGTTCAAAATGGCTTGCTGACACCAACACTAAAAGCTAAGAGACCTGAGCTGAGAGAGTACTTCAAAAAACAAATAGAAGAGCTTTACTCAATCTCCATGTGAAGTTCAAGGAAAGTTCTTCTCAGTATAATGGACTGTGTAGCAATATTATAGTTATTCTTGAAAGTAATGAGTCAAAATGACACATCTGAAAATGAATAAGCATCTGATTTTATGACTGAGCCTTTTCCTGTCCCAAGAGGTCTTTAACAATATTTTCTCTATCATCAATGAGTACACTTTATTTTTATTATTAAAATGATATTGTAGCGGGCTGCTAAAAATATCACAAATGGCAATGTAAAAATCAAGACATTTTCTCAAGAACTGTGTACCACTAAAAGTAATATATTCTCAATGTTCACAGAACTCCTATTAAACATAAAGGAAAAACATAAGTGATATATTGTACTTAATTATTTGTGAAATAGTAACCAGATGCAGTAAATATCTAGGCAGTGTGGACTACCTCATTCAATAACTGATTGTCAAAATCACAATTAAATCAGACTTCAAAAATTAAAGCTAGGTGTACAGAATCATGCTAAAACAAAACATAACTCATAGTCTATGTAACTTCAGATTCTTTAAACATGACAATCCATATTGTCATATGTGAAAGTTTTCTATCTGATTTTTACTTTCATTCATGAAAAATGCAAATTCAGAATTTTTTTTTTTCTTTGTGTTTTGAGACAGGGTCTGCTCTGTCTCAAAGGAGTGCAGTGGCTCAATCATGGCTCATTGCAGTCTCCATCTCCTGGGCTCAAGCGATCCTCCTGTCTCACCTCCCAAGTAGCTGAGACTACAGGTGCATGCCACCACACCTGGCTAATAGAAAATCTTTTTTTTAGATATTTTGTTCAGGCTGGTCTCAAGCTCCTGAGCTCAAGGGATCCTCCCGCCTTGGCCTCCCTAAGTGCTAGGATTACAGGCATGAGCCACTGTTCACAGCCAAATTCAGATATTATTAAAACACATGTCATATTTATATAGTAACTTACAAAGACCTTTCAATACGTTTTCTCATTTATTAAGCTCATTAAAATATTCAGGAACTATCTAGAAAAAATATAATGGAAAACTATTCAAGGATAGTATGTATATGTTCATGGACTTCTTATCATAATGAATTCTAAAAGACATCTGTTGACTCTACAATGAATGGATCCTTGAGGAAGACTTGGGAGAAGAAACTCAGAGTTATTTCTCAGGGTAGGCAGCAATTAATGTACCTATATTCCTTGCTGGGGTCTCCTAGTTTTCCATTCCCAATGTGTCCACGCTATGCCTGGAAACCCTATATGGTTGTAATTCTGAACAATTTCACTTTTTTCCAGTAAGAATATCAAGGCAGAAGGTGGGAAGGAGAGGATATTATTTCCAGGGAAAATAGTTTTTCAACAATATAACTTTGATAAACCTCTTTAAAATGCCCCAAGAAAACTTTTTAAGTCCATAGACAAAGAAATACCACCTAATGGCATAATTCCATTCTTAAAATCTTTAGAAGTGCCCAAGTTTACCCACTAAAACCTCCTTTCTTGCATTATGTATTTAGACCCACCCTGTATTGGGGTGTCAACAATTTCATATAACTAAAGTCCAGATACCATGGACAGCAATTAAGTGCCAAGCTATAGATTGTGCCTCTGAAAAACGAATGGATCCCAGGAAGCTGTTTTTCTTCTATAGAGACAGGACTCTAAGAGCATATGAACAATCCATATGCAATTCGTGTGTTAATTTAAAATATATATGCTCAGTGTTTGTAGTCTAGAAGCTCCTTTCCCTTGGAGCAATGCCAAGCAGTTTGCAAAAATAAATGCTGTTAGTTAAAAACCACATAATCACATGGGCCTATTGAATAAATATGCATCAGTGATTATATACTTATATTTCAGTCTTGTCAAAAGTGAATCACAGTTTCATTTGATGTATTTATCCAGGCTTTTTATCCAGCCTTTCTTGGGCATATTCTCTCTGAAGACCCACTGTTGCACTTCTAAATTTGACATTTAAGAAATGAGCTAGTTCTATACACACTGATTTTTAAAGGCGTTTCTGAATAAGCTAATACTTAAAATGTCCAAAGTCACATCTGTATAGCATTAGATTTTTATATTTAATATATATTTGACTAATTAAAAGTGAAAATTGTTACCTGAACTGGATATTCATACTATTTTAAGGGCAAGTTGCTTACATTTCAATAACAACAAAAAAAGAAGCTGTTTCTCATTGTCCTCCTACTCAACTAAAATTTCATCGTTGACTTTAAGCCCAAAAGAATTTTGGACAATGTGACATAAACAAATAATTTAAAACTTATTTCGTTTTATTTATACTTTATAATAGATATGACTGATTATGGACAACTTTAAGATTTCTTCTTTTTGGCCAGGCACAGTGGCTCACGCCTGTAATCCCAGCACTTTGGGAGGCCAAGGCAGGCAGATCACAAGGTCAGGAGATCAAGACCATCCTGACTAACACGGTGAAACCCCGTCTCTACTAAAAAAATACAAAAATTAGCCGGGTGTGGTGGCGGGTGCCTGTAGTCCCAGCTACTCGGGAGGCTGAGGTAGGAGAATGGTGTGAACCTGGGAGGCGGAGCTTGCAGTAAGTCGAGATTGTGCCACTGCACTCCAGCCTGGGCCACAGAACAATACTCCATCTCAAAAAAAAAAAAAAAAAAAAAAAACCAGATTTCTTCTTTTGCCACTTAAAAGACCTTATATTTCTAGATTTCCAGGTCTATGTGGAAATCATCACACTTGGGCCAATAAATGGGTTAGTTGAGATGTGCTGAGAAAAGTAAATAGTGTACCCTAAATATATTGCATGTACATTTATCTATTTCTCTGTTTAATGCCACTTAATTTTGTAAGAAATGAGAAATGAAACCCTATGTATCAATGGAAAAATCTTTCTTGCTTCAGATTTCCCAACTTCATTCTGGAGGAGAAAAAAATTTGTATTTCTCATTAACAAAGATATAAAAAGGTGTTGTACTTATGATAGTCACATTCATATTGGGCATCAGATCCTATTTAAGCCTAGAAGTATAATAGAGAATCAGTTCCTTAAGTGTAAATACGTTCTTAAATGTTTGGCCTTTTTATCTGTTATTCAAATGTATTAGTAATTCTCATATTTTGCAAACAGATCCTTTTGTGTATATTATAAAATATATACCAAATCTGTTTTTCCCTTTGCTGTGGAAGATGTCTTTATATAATATTGAGACTTTCCTTGCAAATGGGAGAGGAGACTCTGGTCAGGTATAGTATGTAGGCCTAACCCCATGTATTAGGAACTCACAAACTCAGAAATCCAAGGATTAAACATTTTATGTCTCCTTCATTTACGCAAGTCATGCTTTCATTCTAAATGTAGTTAAAACTACAAGTATGAGAAAAAAATAGAACTTTCCACTGGAATTTTTTACAATCAGGTAATGTTTTAGCAATTTGAAATCAGCACTTAATTTGATTGTATTACCTATTAAAGAACCAATAACCTTTCCTTTTTCTGCAGTAAAGAAAATGAAATATCCTTTATTTTCCAAATGTATGAAGCACAAATGTGATATAGTTATTTAAAATATAAAATACTTTAAAATGAATGTAAAGAATGGGAAAATATATTTTTGCATGAAAACAGACTACTTACAAATGTGCTATCTCAGGAAAAAAAAGAATGAATAACAATATATAAAATTGGTAAACTATAAATTGTCTGTATTTCCTTGCTGGTTTTAATTTTAAGGAAGCATTTACATGAAAAGAGAAAGGGATCCTAGTAGTCTGAATTTCCTCTCAAGTATGCTAGAAAACACTTTCTGTGAATTTACAATTAACTGCAATAAGAAGTGGGTTAGCATTCAAGTAAGGTCAATACCCCAAATGAGAAGCTCTTCAGTTAGAACACATTATTGGTTGTAACACAGAAGCAGTAGATAAATATTTGAAATATGAGCATTTCTAAACTTGGTCCCAAATGGAAAGGGTTTCATGAGGTAATGGCGGCTTTTAAACATTCATTTGACTGATTATTCTAATTTACCTTGTTAAATCACTGCAACAGTTGCATGGGGGAAAATGGATATTTTTTGAAGAATTGCTTATTCTACTTTCAATTTTTAAAAATTGAGGGGATTAAAATATTACTTTTTAAATATGCATAAAAGTACCTTAACTGTAATTACATTTTCAGTTGCTTTGTTATAATAGCATGTATATTAAATATAAAATGCATTTATGAAAATTTTTGTAAAAAATAAAAGATTTTTCATTTCTCAAAGTTGCTTATAATTACTATTTTATATATTTATATAATATAATCCCCTCATGTGAATATATTTGGTAATTATCAATCACAGTTAGTGCTTATGATAAACGTAGTATCAAGCTACATTACCAATCAGTATACTTTACATTCGTATTCTACGTCCTCTGTTAACGTTCCACAAACTCCAAGAACTTATGGTCCATCCAGAGAAGAGCTCCTTTGCCCAAGCCACTGTTGGAATTTTTGCTATTGTCAGATATCGCCTGGATTTAAATCATTTTTATGAATACATAACAAATAACTGTCTTCAAATTTTCCATTATGGTGGCCTTTAAAATACCATTTCCATGTCTTTTACTCATATTCAGAATAATGGATACGATTTCTTAAAATGATAAATTCTGCTGTGTCCAAGATATGCAGATTCTGCCTTCTCCATATGTTTGCTATCATCCATTCCTCCCTATTGTCACAGCTATTAGTGTAGTTTGTGCCACCCTTATCTCTTTTCTGGAATATTACAGTGCTTTATTAACTAGCCTTCATGTTTCCACTCCAGCATCCTCAAATTTCGCCATCCACATTTCAGCCAGGGCAATCTTTCTAAATTGAAAATCTAGTTATGCCACTTTCCTGCTTAATAGTCCTTCAGTGACTTCCCATAGTTTCCAGGATAAACTTCAAACTCGCTGGTTCAGCACACAAGGACTAGCATCTCTTCTACTCCCTCCTCCATGGAGCCTCCGCTCCAATCATACTCATTACTTTTTGTAGTTTCCTAAAAGCATCATACTTTCTTGTGCCTACATGCCTTTATACATATAGTCCCTTTCTCCTAGAATGCCCTTTCCTCTAAGTCCCCTAACTCCTACCACTCATCTTTTAAAACTCAGATTCCAGCATCCTTTTCTCTGAGAAGCTTTCCATGTGGTTGATTGGTTGATGATCCTTTTGCCCCACCCCCACTTAGACTGAGTTGCTTGAAGTCTTAGGCCCAGTGCAGCTCTGGCTGATAGCAGATGCTAAAGAAATGCGTATTGAAGGAAAATCCCCTTGGTCCTTTTTCATATGTTGCATAGCATTAAGACTGCAATACCTGAAGGTACATTTCCTCTATCACTGTAATTTATTCCATTCTTGTCATCCAAGCAAAAATAAACTAGTTTGCAGCTGGACTCCCATAGTTCATGGATAGCACCACAAAGATGCTCAGTGGGTTACTCCATAAGAAAACATCATTCAAAAAGATTTCCTTTGGGCTCCGGGGAATCTCAAACCCACAAACTGGCTGTTTCTCCAAAAGATTTATTCAGAAATCTCTTTGACATTTGTTTTCCCATGGAAGTTAATATCTCCATGACTGTTCTAAGCCTAGTCACATCCACCATGTGTTCAACTGAAATGCTGATTACTGAGTTCTGGGTCTAGGTATGGAAGCAGTGCAATGGGGAAATGGAAGAAGTTTGAACACTCATGACTGAACACTTGCACTGGTGTTTGCAGCTTTGGAAGTGGAGTAGGGGGAGATAGATGACTGAATTTGAGATATGTCTGCCCTACCTCATCCTTTTGTAGGAGACACGTTTCTTTCCCCCTTTATAGGTTGACTCTAGGTGAAGTATCAAAGAGACCAAGTCTGTCTCTAGTTCCTTCACTTCCCCTTGCTACCAAGGAATTCAAGCTCCTGTCTTTGCTCCCCCTACTTTTCTCCTAGCCATGTGTTAGGAAGAACAGGAGTATGACAGGTGCAGCAGCCAGATGCCAGGAGAACCATGTTCCCTACGCCAATCATCTGTTTTAAATAGCTTCCCTACACTCTGGTTCCCTCAGTGGCAAAATGAGGGGGCATCTAGATCATCTCTAAGGACCCTTTTGGCTAAAGAAATCATATCAAAGTTTATTTCTGGTTTTGAAACCATATATATTAATTCCCACAAACCTATGGGAATTACTTGATGACACATCAGTGAATGTAATTCAGTATAGTGAGACAGAGTTCTAGGGAACAGGACCACCAAATGACAGACCAGCTTTTGGTTTAACCTATTTTCATTTTGCAATGTTTCTTCCATTTCTGGGCCTAAGGCACCCCAGACTCTAGACCTCCCGAATGTCATTTAAGAACTCTGAGTTTTTTCACAACAGCCCCCAAAGAGAGAGGGGGGAGCATAAAGGCCTGGCTTGTAAACTAGAGACTGCCTGCCAGCATATTATGGACATGACTAAAGAAAGGATGTTGAAAGATGATAATTACTTTATACTGCAGCAAGGCTGTGAGATCCTTAACTGAAGGACCATTTTCGATTCACTTCTGTATCTCCAGGACCTACCACAGTGCTTAATACAGATTAAGGTGTTCAGTAAATATTGATTCAGTGACTGAAAACACTAGGTAAAACCAGGCAAGAATGCCTACCGTCTGTTCTTTAGAAAGCTAGATTTTGATGATTAATTATCTAGTAAATTGATTATCACAAATGTTTCTATGAGCAGATTTTAAATAAAATATTCGGAGTGATTATATTACAAAAATACTGTGGATATATATGTGCTTATATTTGCACATACAATATTGAGGTGTTACAGAAAAATCTTTGAGCTTTTCACAGTTTTATCTCTTCAAACTGCATTTTAAATGTTATGAAATATTTCCACTTTTTAGAATAAAAAGATGGTTATTGTTACATGCATAGTATGCTCATCTGATGTCGCCAGATGGTTCAACCTAGGGAATGGAGAGAATGGGAGGTAATTCCAACATGTCTCTAATTGTCAGAGCAGAAGAGTTTGTTACCGAGCAATCAGTGGGCTCATGGCCTGATGAATGTAGAGGCTAATACCATGGCACTGACTTTTGGGAAAAGAAAAGCTTTATTGCAAGTGGGTTGGCAAGGAGACAGGAGGAAATCCTCAAATCTGTCTTCCTAAGCTGGGGTTTGGGTTGGTTTTTATAAGCATAGGGTAATGAGACGTGATCTGATTGGATCTTGTAATGAGGTGAGGCTGGGAGGCATGATCTGACTGGATCCTGCTATGCGATGAAGCCAGAGCTCAACCTGGTTGGATCCTGCCATGGCATATCTGCTTCTTAATTCAGTCCCTCCTCCTTGATCTGAGCACTTGGTTACCCCTGTGGGTGCATGCTTAGTTCATCTAGGCATGCTCAGGTTACATGACCTGAGGATTCATGGCAACTGAAAAACAACTCGCAATTTTGTTACATAAAAGTTGAACCAAGGCTGGGCAAGGTGGCTCACATCTGTAATCCCAACACTTTGGGAGGCCAAGGCAGGAAGATCACGTGAGGCCAAGAGTTCAAGACCAGCTGGGATAACATAGCAAGACCCCATCTCTACAAAAAAATTTAAAAATTAGCTGGGCGTGGTGGCATGTGCCTGTAGTCTTAGCTACTCGGGAGACTGAGGTGGGAGGATCACTTGAGCCCAGAGTTTGAGGCTGCAGTGAGCTATGATTGTACCATTCTCTCCAACCTGGGTGCCAAGCCAGACCCTGTCTCAAAAAAAAAAAAAAAAAAAAAAAAAAGAAGAAGAAGAAGAGACTGATTGGTCTGGTGTAGCAACAAGTTGAGGCCCAGGGCACAAGGAGGAGAGTCCCTGTGGAATCTTCTACCTTAACCATAAGGATACCCAAATGTCTAGAGATGGCTCCTGGACACAGGCTAAGGGACTCTCTTTGTCGTCCAGAAGCAGCCTCCTAGAGCCCGGGATCTTCAAAGGCTTGGTTAGACTCTTAATTACCATAGCCTCCCAGTAAGTTGGAGGCCCAGGGAACTGAAGTTGATACCTCGGGGAGAAGCTCCTCGTCACTTTAAGGTGCATTCAGTCCTCTTTGTGACCTTCCTGCACTGAGGCCGACCCCTCACAAGACTGCCTGTGCTGGTGGTCTAAAACTCCATTACTAAGGCCTTATGCAGTGGTGATAGGGAGAGCTCGCTCAGAGGAAGTGTCGCGCCCATCCAAAGGAGCGAAGGCCTTTACTCCTTCATGCCCAATTGAAACATGCAGCCACAGGGGAAACCTAAGTGCTCAGACCGAGGAGGAGGGGCTGAATTAAACCTTTTTCAGGACGAGGAAGAAGTTTTTTTCAAAAAATTCCCATTTCGCTGGAGTTCAGGGAGCCTGCGCCAGCGGCCCAGTAACCACGAGGCCCCTACAGGAGGGCTGGACGGCTGCCGCGTTCCTCCGTTTTCCCAGAAGCCTCTGCGCGGCCTCAAGGAGATAAAAAGGCGGGAGCGAGGCCCAGCGAGCGGCTCCAGTTCTGGGGCTTTTGCTTTCGCTCGGTTAATTGCTGTGGGGCTGCTCTGTGGGGCTACTCTGCGCCTCGCCTGGCCGCTGACTCCCTGCGACTTAGCCCTAATCCTCAGGAAGGCAGGCCATCAGGGTCCAGAGGCACCCAAGGCCTGGGGGTAGGGTGGGATAGCAATGTGGCCGCTACGGGTATATACCCGCAAAAAGCGGGCGGGTCAGAGGCTCAATCTCACCCCGACGCCAGACCTAGGCTCTCCCGCGAAGGCGGAGGCCCCACCAGGTACAGGCTCAAGGCTCGCCCACCGTAAGCTCAGCTAAGCTGCCCTGCGGGATGGTACCGGGGACGGGCGGCGGTGCTAGGCCTCGGGCCCAGGGTTTCTTGCCCTGAAACGTGCCGCCCTCTCTCAGGTTCGACGAGAAAAGGCAAGGTGCACGGCTTGTCGAAGATTGCAGAGAAAGCGGAGTGGAGCAGGCAGGGAAGTAGCGGCTCTGGGCTGCCCAGGTATGTAGGCTGGAATGACAGCCCCACCCTCGCTGGCTGCCTCAGAAACCTTCCAGCCGGATTTTCTGCTAGTAGCCTTTTATTCTAACAGTTAATAAACAAAACAAATACAGTACTCTGATTTTGCTCTTCTAAGAACATGGACCCCAAAATTTGACTTCAGGAAGATTTATTTTTAAAAAGGGGAAGGCTTGCCAATGTACGTAAAAGGAAGTGAGATAAATTGGTCGCTGAGCTGTAAG